AATTATATCAAGCTAAAGTAAGCTACATTAAGCTCAGATACACTAATACAGTACTCTATTGTTCAGCATATATATCTACGCTATTCATAGTTATATATGCCAGAACGAGGAATATAAAATCTTAAGATATATGCTTTTGGAGGACGGACACGGTGATGCACATTTGTAATCCCAGGGCAGGAGGATCACCATCAGTTCAAAGCCAGCCTGGACTACATAGTGAGTTCAAGGCCAACGTGGACTGCATAGCGAGACATTGTCTCAAAAGTAAAAAAATAAGTACCTTTGGCCAGTCTAGAAAAATATTGTACATTCATTTTAAATAACTTATTTGTGATTGAGGTAGTAATTTCTCATTTGTAGAAAATTTGAAAGATTTAGTAAAATACAAAGAAGAACATGGAAAACAACCATAAAGTTTCTCATTATCCATGATAGGAAAGTATTGATATTCTGAAATATTTCCTGACACTTGGGTACAGTGTGTATATGCACATGTACAGAATTTTCCCATGATTGAGGGCGTGGTATAGAGGAGTTTAGTATACTGCCTTTCCCTAATGTCACATCACAAATAATTCCCACATCATTAGTTTTTTTCATTAATATGAATGGGTTTACAATAGCAGTATTTAGAGAATTTGCTAAGCAACTCCCCAATTACTAGGCATTAAGGCTATTCCCAAATTTCTGCTATTACAAAAACATGAATGCACATTGTTACAGTTCAGTTCAACACTGTCCTCCAAAAGTGTCATGTGTCGGAGGTGGTCCTTAGAAGAGACAGGTCACTGGAGGTGTGACCTGGAAGGGGGTGTTCTTGTCACCAGCTCCTCCCCATTCTCTGCTTCCTGGCTGCCATGAGGTGAGCAGCTTTCCTCCACTAGGCCCTTCTGCCAAGCTATTTCTGCCTTGGACTCAGCTCAACCTTCTGAAACATAAGCCAAAATAAACCACTCATCCTTAAGATGCAGGTGTTGAGTATTTTGTCCTAGTGATAAGACCTTGACTAATACAAACATCTTTACTTTCCCTCAGCAATATTTTTACAAGTAGAACTCATGACTCAAAGGTATGACCATTTTTAAGGCTCCTGAAAGACACTAGTAAAGAGCTTTTGAATCCAAACACTGTGTTTCCTCAAATATTTGTTTCCACTATAGTTATTTTCAAAACAAGATGTCCAAACAAACAGGCTATGACCATTTCTGTGAAAGTAAAGGTAATAATTATATATCTTTCCATATACTTTCTTAAATACATAGAACAATCCAGACCTTTTGCCAAACTGTCACTAGATATTCTGGGGGTTGGGAGAGCTGTTTCATGATTTCATTTCAGCTTGCAGTGGGCATGTACTAATTTTGCAGTCAGGAAAAATAATAAACCTACTTACTGTGACATTGGAGGGACCTGAGAGATAACACCCTATAATCTGATTTTAGAAGCACCCAATTCAGGTTGATTCATTTTTATGATTAGATGGCAGCTTTGAGGCAGGTGGCCCCGTGGTCTCCATGACACACAGGTGCCTGTGTCTGTCGAGCTTTGCTCACTGTGCTCTTCCTGCGAGCTCTGACCATGGGGCTGGTCTGCACAGGGTGGGGGGTCCTCAGTCTCTGAGAAGCGTTTGCCCTTGACAACACTACTTCGCTCCACTACTTCGCCCAGTTACCAAACTGCCTTAAGATGCACTGGGTCTCCAGATTTGCCAGCCTGAAGTAAACCAGAAATTAGGTAGAGAAAGAGAAGAGTCAAAAAGGCAGGACAGAGGATCTGACCTGATTTTCTTGTTACTATCATTTCATAAGTTAGTTTAAAATAAAAACACAGATGATTCTCAGCCACAGTTGCTTCAGTTGTCATATAAAATAACTTGATGGAAAAATTAAAGGCAGACTGGATTTTGTTATTTGAAAAATGTGTTTTCTATGAGAGTAAAACTGCCAGATGAGTGGCTTTCTATTTGATAATCACACCACAAACCTTCCATTTCCACTTGGAAATCTTTCAGACTTGCTTGGCATGCACATTAAATATCTGTACTGTTGGGCCAGGTGCGGCGGTGCATGCCTGCAATCCCAGCACTCCAGAGGCTGAGGCAGAAGGATCGCTGTGAGTTTGAGACCAGCCTGGGCTACATAGTGAGTTCCAGGTCAGTCTCAGCTACATAGTGAGTCCCTGTCTCAAAACAAACAAACAGCAAAAATATTTGTACTATTCATTGGAAACCTGCAAGTTCAATATTAGAAACTGATCATTGATAATCAGTGAGGAAACTGGACGTGTGCAAGGGTAAAAGCATGCAGAGCACATCTGCAGTCGTGATTAATCCACACAGCGTTATCCACACAGCCGTCTGAAATTAGGTTCTCATTCCACAAACAAGAATAGTCCTCCCGTCAATTGCCTCAGAAGGACGTTGAGCCAAAAGGTCAAAAATCTCACATGGCGTCATCCTAACCTGGTACTGGACTCTTCCGGAACAAACTCTTCCTTATTTTTAAAGTGTCTGTGAAGCAAACAGGAGTTTTAAACTCTGTAGTTCAACTTTGTAGTTTGAATTTTGTGCAGTATTTTTAAACGTTTGTCTTACCAAAGCCGAGTGATGGCAGAGAAAGAAGATTATCAGAAGAGCTGACAGCCCTGCCTGCGGAGCCCCTGGGGACCAGACATGTGCTAGCTGTGAGTCTAGACCACAGCCCTTTAAAGGACAGACGGGTACGAAGACCGTCCCCCTGCGTGTCCAGTTGGTGGAGGCAGCCAACCCATCTCCCCGCACGATGGGCCGTCTGTGACCCACTCTGGGGACCCACGCGAGGCCCTGGGGTGGAGGGCTCAAGGCAAAGGGGGATCTCAGCAGCAGCCCATGGTATCTTCCAGAAGGAAGGACACAAACAGGAAGAAAGAAAAGAACTTCCTGTTTTCCCCAGGGCATTTAAAAAAAATGTCCAATGGAAGAACTCGTGGTTCCCACTTGAGGAATGATGCAAAGGATTGTCAGCAAAGTGAAGAGAACAACCATTTGCATTTTATGGGGACAGCTCTATTCCAGAGACGTGTGCCTCTCAGCATAAGTTGAATTTAAGTTATATTTTTTGTTGTTACTATCAGTGTTCCTTCAGACAGCACATGTGTAAGTCTGATGTTAAACTGCCTGTGTTCCAATCTCCGATCCTCAATATACTGGCCATGTGTGGTGACACCAGTGGCCACCTCTCTGCCTCAGTTTCCCCATCTTTGAAATGAAGCTAGCAATAGTCCTCTTCTCATAGAAGGTTTGATAGGATTTCTGTAGGGCATTTTGCTCTGTGCTTGACACAAAGTGAACACCAAATCGATATTGATGTTATCATTTTTCATAATGGCCACAACTCCAGTCTTTGTATCCCCCTCAGTTCAGCCCTCAGACTCCACTCACCCACAGGGGAGATGCCAGGCCCACCAAGAAGGAGAAAACTCTGAAACAAAGGTCCATTGGACACACAGGGCATGGGATGGACTTGTTTTCAGGTCTTTCTCCGACTCCAGGGTCCAGCAAGAACAGCCAGGGCAGGCGTGAAGTCTGCCAGACCATAAGCACCTCCACAGGGTGGGCACAAGAACAGGGCACAGGGCAAGGAGGTGGCAGTGTGGCTGGGCACTCAGGACAGAGCTGCCTCTTTCCAACCTCTGTGTGTGAGGTGGATTTCACATGGAACAGAGCTTTCTGTGCCACAGAGATAAGACCCACTGATAAAACTCTCTTTAAAATCTTTAAAACTTTGTGTTTTTAAAGGGGTAGGTATACTGCAAAGCAGTTGAGAAATACAGTGGGATAAGGAAAAATGCTCAAAAGAGAGAGCCTAGGGACACCTTTTCCTTTATTTATATCCAGAAAAGTAAAATAAAATGCCCCTTTCAGTAAGACAAATGTCAAGGGCATGACACATATTTCAAATTAGGAAAAATGGGTGTTTACATAGTTATTTCCACTTTACCTTCTTTGGCTCACTGGAAACTTGTTAGGATTTCTTTTCCCTTACAATTTCACTGAAATACGTATAAATTTCCTCTGCCTGGCTGCAGATATTCTGCTTCCTAAGCATAATTTTACTGGCTGGCCTTCCATCCAGATGCCAAATGACTTTTCAGTTTTATGACTTCAGTGCCTAAGACAGAACTCAGGGCCGCTAACAATACGAGTCTATGTTGTCCAAAATTTTCATAGATGAGAAAAATACGGATGCAAGAAAACCGACTAACATCTGAATTTGAGAAGTAGAAATGTAGGTCAGCTAAAAATAATTTAGGAATTGCCAAATTGACCTGGAATGTCAGGTCAGTTAAGATCTAAACAAAACATGCTTTGTTTTTTTTTAACTATCTCTAAGATCTGCTAAGATAACATCAGTTGTTTTGTCAAAGTCAACCCACTCTCCATGCGCGCAGGGCCCACTGACAGCAAAGAGGAGGGACTCGGCTTTGGCTTTGATGGTGCAGGTACACGTTTTCTGTCAGCCTGAAAAATTACTGCAGTGTGTTACTTTCCCAGGTCTCCGTCAAGCCTGCAGTTTTACGATCCTTTCTGTTACATACTTACCTGTCCTTCCTCTGAGTCACCTCTTTTTTTTCCCTACCTTTGCCCAAGTAACTTACTGAGCTTCAACTTAGGTCACTACGGTGACTTCTACAATCTACAAATAATTCAGATTTGCGGCCATACGCAGCTGCTACCTCTGTGGATCAGCTTCAGATTGTAAAGCCCAGGATCGTGAAACCCACCTGGCCCTGGCCTGGCCGGAAGCTGGCTGGGAACTGTGGTTTGTGCTCTTCCCACTAAGGAAGATGCTATGTGTATGTCTGCTTGGGAACTTGTTGTGAAAAATGTTAAAGGACTGTGCAAACTCATGCTTAGTCATGCTTCAAACAGCGGCAATGTTCACATCCAGATAGCAGAGAGCCAAAGTGGGTCAGACCAAGAAAGTTCCCCAGAAGACAGCCGGGCGCATCTCTCTCACCATTCTGAATGAGGGTCTGTGACCGCGTGAACCGCCCGTGGACAGCCGTCATGTGCAGTGGACTTTTGCCATCTTTACTCTAGAAAGAGGAGAGAAAGGGGAATCATGAAGGCACTCATGAGCCGGGACATCAGTCTGAAAGATCCTCGTGGCACTGCTGACAAAGCCGTGAAAACATCACTCTTTTTTTAAAAAATAGTATGGATAACAATTACAAAAACTGAAATAATTTTCAAAGAAAGAAAGACCTATGAGCCTCCACCTGGTTACAGTGCTCTCTGTACCCTAAAGAGGCACAGAAAAGAAATCTCGTCCGAGATGGCTTTGTGATCTGCCGACAGAGAGGTTTTCTACAAGGTGATTTTTTTTTTCAGCTTTTAAAAAGACACCCTGGGTGAACTTGTGTGGTCTTGTCTGACATGCAAGTTAGGGGTTGACTAAACCGCAATAAATCACTGTGGCTCTCAGAACTGACTGTGTTCCCCGTGTTCCCGTTTCACAGAAGACATTTCTGACTGTCCGAAAGAGAACACTTGCTTCCCTTAACTCAGTAGCGTCCTGAGGACCAGGGCCGCAAGTGCTGCGAAATGGCCATTTGCACAATCAGCTGAAAATGCGTGCTGCACGTACACAGCTCTTACTATTGATTACAGAAACTGTGATCCTAAAAGAGACAGAGCCAGAACATGCAAATCGTACAGAACCTATGTACTGATCATCACACCGAAGACCAAGTCCCTGAAATGAAGGTTTGTTCTGGAAATGAGCCCAAAAGGAGAGGCTGCTGCCATGCTAGACCCACAGCATTCCCAGGAGGGGGGACAGGACGTGTCCCCAGCTTACAATGGCTCCTCTTCACAGTCCTCCGACCTTAAGGCAGTGAGAAAGTGGCTCACACTCAGGAGGAACCCCACTTCGGATTCTGGCGTGGATCAGTATGTGCTAGGGACTTCTCCTGGGACGGGATAGCAGGTGTGTGAGCAGCACAAGCCGCCGATGCTCTGTCGCTGGGCTTCTGTTGAGGCGCTTACACGAGCTATGTGCATTTCCAACAAGTTTACATCTGGGAACCTGGTTCCACTGGAAGTCAAGGACCATGTGTATTTTCATTCAAGTGTTATATTTTTAAAAATTCATGTAACTTCTATTTTCTAAGTTTCATAAAGACAGAGGTCTCTAAGGCTAATGTTAAAATGTGAGGTTTCCAAAATGCATGTTTTCTTGGTGACGAAATCTAAACACCTAGGCTTTAAAGTGACTTTGTTTTTAAAACTTCATGCTGGAAAACAATCATTTAAACAGAATTTACATAGGGTGGGCCAAGGTCAGCCTCCATCGGACTCCCCCAGGGCTGGGAAGAGGAGCTCTGTGCTCTGATCTATACCTGCTGAACCAGAAATGGGGCAGAGGGTGCCCACTTCTAACCCACACAGTACCCCACAGAGTAAGGCACTGCATTAGGCTGGGTGCAAATAGCCTCATGAAACCACAGGATCCTAACAGAACGATTTTCATTACATCCGGTGTCTCCTCCTGCCGCTGCATAAGGTCTGTTCCAAGGGGCACGTTCATTAGAGTGACAACTGCGTCTTAAATGAAAAAGAATTCTCACCTAGGTGGTTGGAGGGAGAGATGAGAGGACAGATTTGATATGATGATAACCTACATCAGAAAGTACTGAGAAGAGACGATGGAACTGCAGGAATGCCGGACTGGAAATCGTAGTTTTAGAGGAAGAGAGAAGCCCCGGAGAGGACAAGAACACGTGTGGTGTCATCACTGACCGCCACACCGTGCAGGCTCCTAGAAACTCTGTCTCCGGAGCTTTCTCTTGGCTGTCACACTGCGCACAGCTCAGATAACCACACGGCCTGGGGATGGCGTGGGAAGAAGTATCTAAAACATGCTCTTCCAGTGACAAAGGGGTGACAGTCCACGAAGGTTAAGGAGAGGACAACTATCAGAGTCCACATTCACCTGTCCCTAGGTGGAGCTATTTCTTTACGTTTTGCTCCAGTATTTTCTGTTAAATTTAATATGAAATGTAATTATCATTTAATTAAATATATATAAAGCTATGAATACTTCAGTATTTAGAAAATATCTTCATAAATATTTAACCAAGCACTTTGCCATGCCTGGAAAAGAACTTAAAGGCTTTCACCAAGCAGAAAAGCTACTGACTTAATAGCTCTCCAAACCGCAGGCAGAGTCAAAGCAGAAGTAACCCTTTTTTATCTAGAGTGTAGGCTGCAAAGCTGCCCCCATTTGGGGACAGTAAACACCATGCCCTTCTCCCTCTGGAAGAGTCTATAATGCTACTCAAGAGACAGATAAACAGACGGGCAAAGTTGGTAAAATGAAAAGTCTGGTTCTGTGGTGCTGACAGCTTCAGATTATCCCTAAAGCTTCGCCTGGGCTCACCTCTTACTGAACCCAGGTCAGTGTTGGCAAACGTACGGCAGGCGTGCCTCAGTGTGTGCCTCAGTGGGCACACAGAGCTCTCTGTTGGCGTGCAAGACAAGTCAAGTCACCCCAGCATGCCAAATGCAAACTTTTACCTTTCACTGAAAAGCTGTCTGTATCACTGAAAGCTCTGGTATTTTGTTTTTCTTTTAAGACAAAAGATGCTAATGTAGAGTTGTTTTTTCTAACTAACTCCTCAGTCTTTAGGTTTAATTGCAATGTTGGCACTCTGTGATAAGGGGGCTCAGGATTGCAGTTTGGGCACTGTCTCTACAAGGTTCGCCATCACTACTCTAGGCCATGTCAGACCGTGTCAGACACAGACCAGAGGCTGGGCAGAAAAGAACTGAGATCACAGGGGTCACATGTTCATGACCAGGGGGCAGGCGACCTCGCCGCAGCACTTCCTGAGTCCACGTCTCACCCAGCACTCTATTCCCTGCTGAATGTTCCCCCAAACAGCCTTGAGATGCCATGGAGACTGCGGTGAGGTTTGTAATTACAAATAAACCTGCAACAGTTTGTTTGATCAAGTGCTGTGTTTGTACTATTTTATCACAATTAAACTAATGTTGCCAAGTCAGACAGGGCCATGGTTGATCTGAGTGAAGCGAGGGATTGTGTAGTACCCACAGCACTTGTCTCCTCTTCCTCCCACCTACCTGGTAATTGCTTGTGAAGACACCCATTATTAGTGTTTTGTAAGAAAAGAGGGAAACAAAGCAAACACATGGGTGGATACCCACTGATTTCAATGCACTATTTTGCTCAAACTTCGGGGACGCTAAACAAACATCAATTTTCTCGCCTCTATAAACATTTTCAAAATCCTTGGAGCAATGTGGTGCTGAGTGATAACAACTTCAATTAGAAAGTTCCCTCCAGAGTCAGAAACAATATGGTCCGTGCATCCGGGGAGCATCTGGAGTCACTAAGGAGGGTTGGAGGGAATTAGCAACCAGGGCAGGAAGACAGAGGGAGGAAGGAGGCTACACTGGACTCAGACAGCTCCCTTGCGCAGATTACATCACGCACGGACTCAATCTCAGGCTTCAAAATGGCACTGCTTGTGCTCTATTTATGATTATCAGCATGAGGGGAAAACTGAATATTAAAATCAAGTAAATATGTGCTTCAAGTCCATTTTGTGGGAAAGGAGAGAAGGCTGCCGTGAATGGCTGAGTCTCTTGTCCACTCTGAACTGACCCTGGCCAGTTAACCAGAAGCAGCAGGTCACTGGGGGCGGGAAGTGGCCTTCTAGTTTCAAGCTCGAGGCACCCTGAGAGCTTTAGGGAAGGGCTTTGCAGAGGAAATGAGTTACTTAGGCAGTAATGTTAGAGTGAGCTACTCTCTTCAACTTCAGCAGTGTCCCTTCCTTGAGGGATCCACAGGCTGTCCTTCCCACAGCAGGACAGCAGGACAGACATCCACCACCCTGGAGTCACTGACAACTGTGACCTCCCCTCCCGCATGCCCTGTGGTTCCAACCACACAGGCTCCTTCCCACCCCGAGCTACAGTTCCTTGGTCTCGTCAGGTCCCTAAAGACCTTCCTCTTCCCTCTTCTTGGGAGCTAGATGATGTGAACCCTGAACCTCTCTCCTCTTCTACTTTTCTGTCTCTGCCTGCCTGGCATCCACAGTGATGCCACCCACCCTTCCTTTCCGCTCTGACCTTCTCTAACTCTCCCATTCCATCTGTTGGTCTAGCTCTTCCTCCTCTGACCCCAAGAGCAGGGAGCTCCTGGGGTCCTCCTCCCTCCCCTGCCCACATGGTCATGTGCTCTCTCCTTGGGTGATGCCCTTCCCCCTCCCCAGTATGAAGGAAGCAAACGTCTTTTCCTTCACCCCTGCAGCTCTTCTATGCTAGAGGGTTGGGTTTCCCACTGCTGCCTGGACATGCCAAAGGCGCCTGAGGATTAAACTCATGGGGGACCTCTCCTAAGCCTACTCTTCCTCCTGACTGTCTTTGGTTTTTTGAGACAGGGTCTTGCGGTGTAGTCCAGGCTGGCCTTGAACTCACTATATAGCCCAAGCTGGCCTTGAAGTTATGGCGATCCTCCTGCCTCAGCCTCCCGAGTGCTGGGACTGTAGGTGTGCTCCAGCACGCCCAGCCACCCACGCCATCTTGATGAATGTTAGCGGTAATATTCATTCATCGAGTGTTTAGCAGGTGTCAGCCACTGTTGTGTGACTGAAGTGCGATATCTCCATGTAGTCCTCACAAGGGTTCTAAGAAGAAGAAGGCGTCATCATTTCCCTAGCTTTCCAGAGAGGGCAGGAGGTCGGTCATGATTAACAGTGACTCACACTGAAGGCCAGGGTTGGAGTCCTGACTGCCTGGCCCAGAGCGAGGCCCACCCAGACGTCGCTTCACCCCCCTCTGCTCAGCCTGCCCGCCAGCCACCTCGGGTTTGCTTTCTGCAGGGCCTCTCTCCCGCTTCCTCCACCCAGGCCCTGCTCCCTGCACCCCTGCCCTGCTGTCCAGGTCAGTTTTACTGGCTCTCAATGACCCGTCAGCCCTCTCCAGGGCCACTGCACCTGCAACAGCAAACAGATGCCGTTTACCTTTTGTTTTTCTTGGATACAAGAATAACACTTGCCCAACGCATTGGATATAGAAATAACATGTGCTCACTGTACAGTACTGAAGAGTTTTAGAAACTATCGCTTTTGGATATAAAAATAACACATTAGGATGCATCATAATCAGAAGATTTTAAAAAATGCAAACAAGAAACTAAAATCCAAAATCGTAACTTTGTCTCTGCAGTGATAACTGAGGCCAGTATATTAGTCTATAAACTCCAGTGTCTCTCTCTGTTGCACACATGTAACTTTTCACAAAAAATGGGATCGTATTGATCTGTGATAAAATTGGTATCATTATTGTCTTTGATAAAAGTCAATTTTCAAAGGCAAATCTGTATTTCTCTCTAGTCTGAGCTTTTCTAATCACTTAATGATAATGAACATCACTAATTACAGTAAGTCCCCCTGACTTACAAACTCCAGGAGGGAGAACTGTTCCTGAGTCAGATCACTCATAACCTGACAAAGTGAGTCTCTCACAGCACGCCTGTGAAGGCTCCAAACTCAAATGCTCCTAAGTTGGTGACCAAGTTACTAATATCTTCCACATGCACAGGGATATTACAGTCTCTTTCTGGTGAAATGCCTTCGCCTAAATTCTCCAGTGGTTTTGCAGACTCTTTTTATTTTTAACAGGCTTTCTTTTGTTTTGCTTTGTTTTGTTTTTTCTTTTTTCTTTTTTGGTACCAAGAATTGAACCCAGGGCCTCATGCTTACTGGGCAGGAGCTGTGCTGCTGAGCTACATCCCCAGCCCAGTTTTTCAGACTCTTTCTTGGTCTGAAAGAGCTCTTCACATATTAAGCATACTAACTTTTTTCTTTTCATGTATATTGTGGAAAATGTTTCCCACATTGTTCCTTTCAATTTTGTTTTGAGTGTGTGTGAAGTTTCCCCTTTCTCTTATTTTGTTTTGGCATATAAACAGTAATCTTTATGTGGTTGTACACACTCTCTTCCCCTTTGTGTTTCCTGCCCCAGGCCTTGGCAGGTCCCTCCCTCTGCAGCTCGGGTTACCTCACGGCCCGCTGGTTCTGAGGCTGCCAGGTGAATGAGCCCTTCCTCAGTCCTCTCACATTTCAGCTTCTTTCTAGCTCTTTTCTTGTACCTAATTTCTATTCAATCATAATAAATGGCTGTTCTGCCCATCTGCTCCATATTTCCCCAATATTAGCAAGTGTGATACAAAATGCAAAAAGCTTTGCCAGTGAGCAGAGGAGCCTGATGCGATCTTCCTGGGAAAATCTCTGGCACCACTGGAGACAGCGACCGGACTGGGATGGGGTTCCTGCTGTGCTTGGGAGAGGGTTGTCCTCCCTGAGGACAGGGGAGGCTACCGCCCAGGTCCCCAGGCGAGGGCCTGTGTGAGGTTCACCGACAGCTTTGCCCCAGCACCCTCTGCCTGGGTTCCTGCCCTGCCCTCTCCCCAGTGATCTCTGGGCCTCCTCCCCTCAGTCGATCATTTCTAAGCTGAAAAACAGCCTTTCTGTGCCCCAGACAAGAGCGACCGCGCCTCCTACTCCTCAGCCCCTGTTACTCTCAGCACACGGTGCGGCTCCTGCTCCGTGCCTGACTGAGCACGTGCGTTCTCCTTTGCGCACTTCAGGGAAGAGATCACGTCTTGTCTCGGAATAGTCCTCCAGCGCCAAGCCGGTCTTAGGTCCTCTTACTAGATCTGACTAATAAAGCTGTGATCAGGAGGCCGGCAGGGCTGCAAGTTCAAGCCCAGACTGGGCAATTTAGCAATGTACTGAGAACTTGTCTCAAAAATTAAAAATAAATAAATAAAACGAAAAGGGCTAGGGCTGTAGCTCAATGCAAAGGCCTGGGTTCAACCCCCAGGAATGCTCAAGAAAGAAAAGGAGAGGAAAAGAAGAAAAGGAGTGACCTACCTGGAAGTTGACGTCGGCCCCGTTGTTCACCAGCAGCTCCAGGCACAGAGCGCCGTGGGTGGAGGCGGCGGCGAAGTGCAGCGGGGTGAAGCCGCTGCTGTTGGGCTGGTTCACGTTGGCTCCGTAGTCGATCAGCTCGCTCACCACGGTGTCCTGGCCGTTGTAACAGGCGATGTGCAGGGCTGTGTTCCCGTAGACGTTGATTTCGTCAATCTGCAAGGGAGGCCATTAGATCACCGGAAGCCTAACGGCTGTGGCTGCAGAAGGGAACCACAGCCCTCCGCACGCGTCCCCGGCTCACCCTCAGCCCCGCAGGTCAGCCTGGGCGGGCTGCTCGCCGAGGTACCGGTCAGCAGAGCGTGAGCCGGTGACCGGGGACCCAGCAAGGGTAAGAGGCTCGGTGCCGTGAGAGCCGGGGAAGGAGGAGTGGGGAAACGCCAGAAGACAGGTGGCTCAGGGCGAGCAGGGGCCCGGGACACTGCGACACCGTGACCATGAAGGCGAGGGTGGGGTGGCCAGAGGGCCAGCTGTGGACCCACACGCTCACGCCCCGAGCCCTTGGCTTCGCCCCAGGCTGCCTTCAGCTTCAGAGCAGCGGCCCGCCCGGGCAGGGTTTAGTCCCTGGCTCCCTGAGGCTTGTCGCCCTCCTGGTCCTGCTGTGCCAGTGGAAGGGCGAGGACACACCGCTCTTCCAGCCCAGCGCGGACTCCTCAGCTGCTCATCGTCGTGACACCCAAGCCATTCTGCCAAAAGCCAGGAAAAGCTGCCTTCTGCAGAACAAGGACCAGAACCCTAGCCAGTCTGTAACACCGACTGTTAATACGTCTTTCCGAGGATACACGTTTGTGTTCTCTGTCTGTGTTGATGTGGAAAGCTGGTCTGCTTCCAGTTTTCCCCTAGTCCAAACTCCACTGTCTTTCGGAAGGTGACCACGTAAATTAGAAAGAAAGGATGCTAGGAAATAAGTGTGCCCCCCACACACTAAAATGAGGGACTTCATTTCAGAGAGCAGAAACCCCCTACCCTCAGCTTTAACAGCCCGCCCAACTCCATCTTGTGAGTCAGTGCCAGTCCGCACCTGTGTTAGAACACAGTGCTTACAGTTGAACAAAACATCCAAACCCCACGTCCTGCTTGGCTGTAAACTGGGTACAGTCGCTGTATGTTTTGTAGCTCACCTAGTGTGTGTGAAACTCCCTTGTGCCCCCACTACCATGGCATGGCTCTGCTTCTGTACAATTTCGCTTCCTCTCCCCTGAGCCCTCCCCAACTGAAAGCATGATTTAAAAGGATAAATCAAAGTGCTCCTCATTGCTGAGGAAATTTCTGAGCGCTAGCCCAGAAATAAAAGGGCTTGAGTTTGGCAAGAGTGGCGCATCTCTGTTGTTCGAACTCATCCATCCATAACAGCTGGAGGCACCAGTGAGACAGCCACACTGGGTCAAGTAGCCTCACTGCGATCACTCTCATCTGCAGCAGCAAGCTATCGGGGAGGCTCCCGCTGAGACATTTCAGGGCCTTGTAGTCTCACTGCTGACGCTGAAGGGACTGCACAGATGCCTGAGATGCCCATCAAATGTTCTGAAGCCCATCTGGTCTGGTAAGGATCCTTCTGGCCTTGGTGGGATCAGTAGTCCTTGATGAAGGCGTTCCCTGGGCCCCTCCATAAGGTCCAGACGCTGACTGAGGTGGCCCTCGTCCGGTCTGGTCTGGCTCTGAGCCAGACAATCTGGTAGTTCCCCGGGGAAAGGGCTGGGGTTGGAATGTCTCTAACTGCTGGATGATTGCTGTATGAATGAGTGAATGACCGGCAACAGGCAGTGCAAGCAATAGGCTGCTCCATCCGTGTCCCCTGACAAAGAGGGGGAATTTCGGGACTTGTTTGGGGTTGTACTGAGGTTCCGTGGACACGTCTAAGGAGGCCAAGTGGGTGCTCTTACGATGACATAAAAACACCCTGAAAGCCTGGACGGTCCTTAGAGTGGCTGAGAGGCCCGCAGCCAGACAACCGACTGAGTGGTTCCGCCTACAGAGGGACACCCTCTCCCTCGGCTGATCGCGACATTGTTCAAGGGTGCACCACACAAACACTGAGGCTTTTTCTTTATGTCTGGATATTTTATCTTTTCATTTGTTCTTGTAGCTCAGTTGGAGGAGCCTTTGATGTCGATACAGGGGTCCTGTCCCTCCCTTTATCCCCCAATTGATGTACTGTCAGTCCCTCTAATCAGTGGCTCTTCTGACATTCTCTCTTTCACACTACCTTGTCTTTTTTTTTTTTTTAATTGTTCTTGCGGCTCCTGTTCTTGGGTATCTCCCTCCTGCCTAAAGTCTCTCTACCATGGGGTTGTCATCTTCACAACCCATTACACCCCTGTTCTGTATGCTTAGAAAATTTTCCTCAGGATTTTGTGATGATTATGGAGTGAAATTGTCAAAGGACAAACTCCACACTTTTTGTGAGCTTGAATGGCCCTCTTTTGGTGTGGGCTGGCTCTCTGAGGGCTCCCTAGACCCTGCCTTGGTTTGAGCAGTTTGGAAGGTTGTTATTGGGTCACCAGGACACCCTGATCAGTTCCCTTACATTGATTCCTGGTTTACTCTAGTGAAGCAGCCCCCACTGTGACTAAAGGCCTGTGCTGCAAAAGCCTATTCAAAGCTGCTTGTTTCCACCGGGCGTGGTGGCACATGCCTATAATCCCAGCACTTGGGAGGCTGAGGCAGGAGTATCACTGTGAGTTCAGGACCAGCCTGAGCAACATAGTGAATTGCAGGTCCCTACATAGTGAGACCCTGTCTCAAAAAAAAAAAAAAAAAAAGCTGCTTGTTTCCAAAAGTTGTTCTCCCCTCATAGGCAGACTCTGGAGAGACAGAAACCAGCTCTGCAACAGTCTGATGCTGAGGAAGTCCTCCCTCATTCTTCTCCATATAACCCTAGTTCACCCCCTCTCCTGTCCATCCTGACCCATCTGCCCCCAACTCCCTTGTTTCTTCCTCTACTTCCCCTGCTACCTCTCCCCACATACAAGAGTGTCTCCAATCCCAGCAAGAGATCACCACCTCTGGACACAGCCCACAGATTCTCTTGCCTTTGAGAGAGGCCCCTCCTCCCGATGGGGCAGGACTGGGAACCCACCTATTCCTGGTATATGTTCCCTTTCTGACCTTTACAATTGGAAAACACCAAATCCACCCATTCTCTGAGAAGCCCCAGGTTCTGATTTCCCTGATAGAGTCTATCTTTACGGCTCCTCTACTGGATGACTGCCAGCAGTTATTACTGACCCTCTTCACTGCTGAGGGGTGGGACAGGATTAGGTTAGAAGCCAGAAAGTTTTTATCAGGGGGATGCTCAGGAGAGCAAGCCCACAAATTGCTGAAGCAAGGGTTCCCCTCAGAGCGACCTGAATGGGATCCAAATTTTTCAGGAGGGAAACAGGCTCTACTCACCTTTCACCAAAACTTGTTAAATGGGCTTTGAGCAGCAGCTCGGAAACCCATAAATCTGTCAAAAGCTACTGAAGTGACACGGACCAGAGGAGTCTCCCGCTGTGTTCCTGGAGAGACTCAGAGAGGCCTTCTGGATTCACACCCCATTCAGCCCCTCTGCTCCATAGAACAAGAGTTACAAAGTTGGCTTATGTTACTCAGTCTGCCCCTGATTCAAGGAGAAAATTACAAAAAGTGGAGGGATTGCCAGGAAATGAACACATCTCAGTTATTAGAAGTAGCTCAAAAGGTGATTGACAATAGGGATTCAGAAAAACAAAAGTTGGCCACAGTCACAGCTGAACAGTGAAGAAACAAGAAAAGATCTTGGCAGCAGCCATCAGAGGGACCCTGTGGGCCCCAACCCCAAGAAGCTCAAAGGGCAGATGCCTAGCAAGGCATGAGGACCCTGCCATTGGACAGAAATGTGCCTTTTACAAGGAGGAAGGGCACTGGTAACATGAATGGCCCCACAGGCCCTCTGCCAAGGTACTATCGCTCCCCACATCCAGGGGAAAAGAAGATTCAGACTAAGGAGGTCAGGGCTCCTTCTCTCTTGGTCCTTGGGAGCCCATGGTAAATGTTGAAGTAGGGGTCAACAGGTCCATTTCCTGGTGGACACTGGAGCTGAGAGGTTGGTGTTAAAAACTCCCCTGGGAAACCTTTTGTCACAAACTGTTCCTATCCAGCGGGCCACAGGAGCAGCGCAAAACTGCCCACTCCCGAGTGAGCGACTGGGAAGTCTAGGATCAAAACAAGCCACTCACTCTTTTCTGGTAATCCAGACTGCCCACTCCCCTTGCTGGGGCGAGACCTCCTCTGTAAGCTAAAGGCTACCGTTTCATTTACTCCGACTGAGGCTCAGATGTCACTCTCTTCATACCATCTTTGACCAGCGCCTGGTCTGAAGAGTATCTCCTCTCAGGGGAAGGAAACCAGGAGGAAATAAGCCCCAGGAGCACATTGGACAGACTTCAGGCAGAGTTCCTGAAGGTGTGGGCAGAAACTAACCCCTAGGCTTGGCAGCTCATCACTCTCCAGTGACAGTCAAACTTTTGTTGACTGCCACTCCCATGCGAGTTCAACAGTACCCAATCTCTCAGAAGGGCAGGTGGGATAGCCCCTCACATGAAGAGGCTGATGGACTTTGTGGTGTTAACTCCCTGCCAGTCTCCATGGAACACCCCATTCCTACCAGTACAGAAACCGGGGATATCAGATTATAGGTCAGTTCAGGACTTGGGAGAAGGAGAAGTTAACTGGCAAGTGGTAACTGCACCCTACTGTCCCAGCCCATATGCCCTCCTGAGTTTGCTGTCTCCTGAGCACCAAGTGTGTACTGTGCTGGATTTAAAGGATGCCTTTTTCAGTGTGCCTCTGGGCCCTGCTAGCCAGCTATCTTCACTTTTAAATGGACTGACCCAGTTTCCAGCAACAACCTGGACCCGGTTGCCTCAACAGTGTGATTCAACAGTGTGCCCACCCTGTTCGGTGAGGCCCTCCAGAAGGACTTGGTGAGTTTTCGATCCGACCACCCTAACCTCACCATGCTTCAGTTGTGGATGATTTGTTATTAGCTGCTATGAGCTATTCACACTGCCTGCCGGGGATGCGAGAGCCTCTTCAGCTACTAGAGGAGATGGGCTACTGTGTCTTAGCCAAGAAGGCACAGCTCTGTGCCCCTAAAGTATCATACCTGAGGTATGAAATCTCAGAAGGAAGAAGAGCCTTGTGCCAGGTCAGGAAAAGGGCCATCCTCCAGATACCACACCAAATACCAAGAAATTGGTACGAGAATTCCTAGGTGCAGCTGGATGCTGTCGCCTATGGATACCTGGGTTTGCTGAGATAATGAGGCCCCTCCATTCTGCCACGGGAGGAAATCAACTCCTATAGTGGGGAATAGATGAAGAAGAAGCCTTCCAGATCTGAAAAGAGCTTTGGTGTCAGCTCCGGCTCTGGAACTACCTGATGTAAGCCTTTTCATCTGTTCATCCATGAAGAGGGATTGCTAAGGGGTCCTAACACAGCCCTTGAGACCCTGGAAGTGCCCTGTGGCCTCTCTAAAGATTAGTCCTCGTGGCCTCAGGATGGCCTTCATGTCTTCGGGTGGTAGCTACCACAGCTTTATTGGTCAAGGAGGCTAATAAATTGACTCTTGGACAGGACCTAGTCCTAACTGCCCCTCACTCAGTAGAGACTCTGCTCAGGGGGGCCACTAATAAGTGGGTGCCATATGCCCACCTCACTCAGTATCAAAGCCTCTTGCTCAACCAGCCTCGCATGGTCTTCTCAGCAGGGCAGGTTTTCAGTCTGGCTGTGCTGATGCCAGATGATGACCCTGACATCTCAATTCACGACTGTGAGGAGGTGCTGGACCAGACCCAGGGGGGCCGATCAGACTAACAGACACCCCCTTGGCTGAGGCGGATGCCACCCTCTTCACAGATGGAAGCAGAATGGTGGTAAGCAGGATATGGAGGGTGGGAGCTGCCTTGACTACAGTTGATCGAGTCAACTGCACCCGGCTTCTGCCCAAGGGAACCTCGGTCCAAAAGGCAGAACTGATCACCTTGGCCCAGGCCTTGAGATGGGGAAGGGATAAAGAAGATAAACATCCACACTGATAGCAGGTCTGCCTTTGCTACCTACATGTCCACCCAAGCATCTACAAGGAGAGAGGGCTTCTGACAGCTGCAGGGAAGACTGTCAAAAACAAAGAAGAAGAGACACTGTCTCTCCTAGAGGTGGTTTGGCTTCCCAAAAAGGTGGCTGTCATCCATGTTCAAGGTCACCAAAAGGAGAGTACACCAGAGGCTAAGGGAAATCAGCTTGCAGACCGTGTAGCCAGAGAGGCAGCCCCGAGGCCAGCTGAACCCTCAGTCATCCTGCCTACCGTGAGTCCTCCTCCCCCTTTGCTCCCCACTACCCCCACTTACAGTGAAGAGGAAGACAAAGAAGCAAGCCAGCTGCAAGCAAAGAAAGGTCCCCAAGGCTGGTGGAAATGTCCAGGTGGTCACATCTACCTCCCCCAGGCATTAGGACGACAGCTCATCCAGCAGCTGCATTCGGTCATGGACCTGGTGGGCTCCAAGATGACCAAGCTTTTAGCTCCAAGATACTGTATTTCAAAGCTCCAAGAGCTGGCCCACCAGGCCTCTCTCAGGGCCCAACCTGTGTACAAGTAAATCCCTGCCAAGGTCCATCTGCACCCTTGGGGTCAGATTTCGGGCTGGAAATCCTGGAGAACACTGGGAAGTGGACTTCGCAGAGATCAAACCACCAGCAGGTGGCTATCGCTACCTCCTGCTTTTCATAGATACCTTCTCAGGATGGACAGAGACTGCCACTGTGGTGGCAGAGAGACTTCTTCAGGAATTAATTCCCTGATCTGGATGGCCAGTGTCCATTGGATCTGACAATGGCCCCGCTTTTCTAGCCCCTATAACTCCAGTCATTAGGGCACTGGGTGTAAATTGGAAACTCTACTGTGCCTACTGACCACAAAGCTCAGGGCAAGTGGAATGGATGGATCAGACCCTAAAATCTACTCTGACTAAATTCATGTTGGAGACTGGTAAAGCGTGGGTCAGCCTGCTGCCTTTGGCTGTCCTTTGAGTCAGGAGCACCCCTTACAAAGCAGGTTTTACTCCTTATGAAATTACGTTTGGGAGAACCCTGTCCCTGCTCCCTAAGGTTTAAAGTGAGGCACTAGAAGAATTTTATAACCAGTCCCTGTTAAAGTATCTCCAGTGTCCCCAACAGGTACAGAAAACCGTCCACTCCCAGGTGTGAGCTGCTCAGCCCCTACCCAGCTCTCCAATGTGCCACCCGTTCCAGCCTGGGGATGCTGTCTTTGTCAAGGCCTTTTGGGGTGAAGGACTGACTCCAGCCCGGAAGGGACCCCCACAGTCATCCTCATGGTGCCCTCAGCTCTCTAGGTTGATGGAATCTCGACGTGGGTTCACCATTCACACATCAAGTGGGCGAAACAGTGGGCTGCTGAGCTGGGACCTGATCCTTAAAGCGAAGACTAGTATGGTCATGATTGTGACGCTTTTCCTTCTAGTCTTTGGGCTGACAAGGCAGAACTCTGGGGAACTGCAACGAGGAGAGCTGCACTCCTTTCTCCTCATCTCCTCAGCTCAGGAGGAATTCTAGGTAGTGTCACTTTTGGTGCCATCTGCCCCCAGCAACCTCTCAGGCTGCTCAAGGTTGATCTCTGTAAATTAATCAGAAGAGACTGGGGAAGCTGCTACTATCAGTTCATAAACCTGGGAAACCATCTGTGACTTGTATGCATGTCCAGGATCGATTCATTTAGACAGAAGGGCTGTGGGTCCCCAGCTGATTTCTCACTAATGCTTTCATAGTTTGGGAACACGGCTGCCAAGTCACAATTCTGATACAAAGGTCCCAGGTCTCTAAATGGACCACAGGATGGAAATGGTTCCCCAGAAGACTAATTCCTGATCCGGGAGAAATCATTACCTGTCAAACCCGGTGGCTAAGCCGAGCACTGAGACAGGCAATAGGACCCTTAAAGAAGGTAATGCACCTATTACTTGAGCCTCACCCTGCTTATCCCTCCTTCAAAGTGTCCGTCTTAACTGCTAATAGAGCAGACCCCTCACGAATGTCGCCTCCCTCCCTTTTCTCCATGCTGGGAGCCATCCACACCATGTTAAATCTAACTCAGCCAGACCTGGCTCAGGACTATTGGCTCTGTCTAAAAGTAAAGCCTCCTTATTATGTGGGTGGGAGGGCCTTGGGCCCAATCAGAGCTTCAAGTTCTGCCTTAAAATGCACTTCAGCAAGAGCCCCCTTGCTAAGTGGTGACGTTTCAAGGAAAATCTGGATAGATGTCAGAAGCAAAGCAAAGTAACAACTTGTGCTATCATAACTTGCTCAATCAGAGCGCCTGGGTAACTCCCCTCATCACCAGACTGGCTGGTACCCTCGTCCTGCTATTTCTTGGGCTCTTGATTGGCCCTTGTATACTTCATTGGATAATCAACTTTGTAAAACAGGGCATAGCTTCTGTTAAGCTGATGGATATGAGATCCTACTACAGTCCCTTGTGTGACTCCCTGCCCATTCGAGAGGCTCTCATTGAGTCAATGCTTTGATACCATGCTTGGAGGAGTTGGGAATATGACAGCCAGCCCCATTCCATCTTGTACCTCAATGCCAGCCTGTACCTGCATTAGAACAAAGTGCTCATGCTTGAACAAAGCACCCAAACCCCACGTCCTGCTTGGCAGTAAACTTGCTGCAGTCGCTGGATGTTTTGTAGCTCACCTTGTGCCCCGCAGTACTCTGGCATGGTTCTGCTTCTGTAAGATTCCGCCTCCTCTCCCCAAGCCCTCCCCAGATGAAAGCATGATTTAAAAGGAGAAATCAAACTGCTTCTTACTGCCCAGGAAATTTCTGAGCACCAGCTACCTCGGCTGCCAGCTATATAATAAAAGGGCTTGAGTTTGGCACAAAGAGTGGTGCATCTCTGTTGTTCGAACTCACACTCGCCGGTAACAAGGCCATGCAGGATGCACTAACTGCCACTCACCTCCACCCCGAGATTTAGGAGGTGTTTGACGACGTTGATCTGCCCATTGGAGGCTGCGGCATGCAGTGGGGTGTAGCCCTTCTTGTCCTTGCAGGTCACTTCTGCACCATGGTTGATGAGCAGGGCCACGACATCCAGGTGACCTTGACAGACAGAGGAAGAAAGCACCATGAACCTCTCCGGGCAGTGTGATAGCTCGTTTCACCTCGATCATCACAGGTGGCTTCTCAGTGTCACCGGTTTCTGCTCAGCTCTTTTTACAGAAAGCTGCCTCGTGACAAATATTCAACAAATATGTGCTGAAGACCTACTATGTGCTGAGCAGTGTTAAATGCCGCAGGAAGACGAGGGAGGAGCCTCACACAGACTGGAAGGAGCTGCAGTGGGACGAGGTTGCCACTGCATGTACAACTCCTGACACCACACTGGAACTGCCACCTTTTACAGGTGTGTTAAAGTGACAGCCATGCTTTGGAAATAACTGCCATTCTTCCCTGAAAAATCTAACAGGAGCAATTTGGGATGGGAAAACTGATAGATGAAAAAACATCAGTCAATCAGAAGGAGCCCACGCGAATGTTAAATCATAGGACACTGCTGTTGTTGAGTTGATTTATTTTCGCTGAGTTCACTGGTGCATTTCAGGTACACACTATGATCACATCCATCACTGGGATTTTGTACCTGTACATGATACATCTTGGTTCTTATTTTTTCCCATTCCCCCTTCCTTCCCTTCAACCCCTCCACCCATCCCTATTTACAAAAGCTTTATTTATGGTTTTCTCCTTTTCTCATACATATTTTTTTCTTTTCCTTCTTTCCTTTTCTCCACCCTCTCCCGAATTCTCCTTCCCCCTTTGAACATTTTCTTCCTATTTCACAACATGTATTACACATTTTGGTCCCCATTTACACTTGCAGTTTCTCACACCAGAGAAACAATTCAGTTCAATTTACAAATGTATGTTCTATTTATTTTGCTTAAAAGTATGGACTCAAGGTGCATCCAATTAGCTATAAATGACTCTAGTTTATCTTTAAGGCTGAGTAGTACTCCATTTTACACACACACACACACACACACACACACACACACATACACACACACACAAGGGCTGGGGATTTAGCTCAGTGGCACTGCACCTGATTTACAAGTGCAAGGTCCTGAGTTCAATTCCCAGGAACAAAAACCAAACCAAAACAACAACAACAAAAAGACATCTTTATCCACTCACCAGTTAATGAGCTGTTTCCAAGATTTAGCTACTAAACTGTGCCACTATAAACATGGGTGAGCATATATCACTGTGGTATGATGTTTTTAAATTCTTCGGGAACACACCGGACAGGGGAATAGCTGGATAAAATGGGACCTCTAGTCCTGTTTTTTTGAGGAATCTCCACACTGATTTCCACAGTGGTTGTACCGGTCTACACTCCCACCAACTGTGGAGAAGGGTTTCTTTTTCCACACAACCCTGCCAGCATTTGTTACTGGTTGATTTCTCAGTAGCGGCCATTCTTTCTGGGGAGAGGTGGAATCTCAGCATTGTTTTCATTTGCATCTCTCGAATGACCAGTGATGCTGAACATTTTTCATGTATTTATTTTCTGCTTCTACTTGTTGATTTTTTAACCCATAAAAATAATATTTTCCTATGGCTCAATATAAAAGTGTCTTATTAATTGTGCTAAAGGGAAAATCTTCCTCATTGCAGCTCTAGGGAGCAATCTTTCCTAGAATATTTCACTCTGCTCCTCAGCTCAATAAATACAGTATGATAAATGCATCTGCTCTTCATTCATAACTGAAAGTTCTGTGACACTTCATGACCATTGCTCCAAAGAGAGTAAACTGAAGGGCAGGAGACAGTTACCGACTCCAGGGCCTAAAATGTGTGTGTGTGCGTGTGTGTGTGTGTGTGTGTGTGTGTGTATCAGAGAAAAAAGCAGTTTGGCATTGACTTGTTTTATTAAAATTTGACTTTTCCTCCCAAGACTTGTGCATAGGAAGACACTTTCTTACTAGTGGTGCTACCTAAAGCTACTGGTCCTGGTTTATATTTTTTTCCAATCTGTAACATGGTGGCACAGGCAATAATGACGTTACTTCTTTAAAGCCATTTACCCAGATGCTTTCAGTATAAAGGATGAACAGGAAGCCCTGATTCTCCATGCCCACCCACTCCTGTTTAGTGTATGTTCTGCCTAAATGTCTCTCTGCTGGCTCCTGGCCTCCGCCCTTCAGGATCCATGCCTCAGTCAGCCGGGAAATCCACGCCACTTTGTTTTTAAATTCTAATGTTTGCAAAGTTCTAAGATTCTTGGGCCTTTGAAGCCTGAGGGATCATTCAGCCCCTTCTTTAGCCACATAATTCATTTCATCCTTACCTAACCTGTTCTTCCTACATTAATGGATGACAAAGATGACAGAAGCTTGAGGACTTGTTAAAAAGGATTTAGAAAGGCACAAAGATGTTAAAAGGAAATCAAAAGCACCAATTCTTACAGATGAGCAGTTAATATTTCTGTACATAATATTTTCCACATTTATTTCCTTCTTTACTCATTTTTGCAGTACTAGGGATTGAACCAGGGCCTTCACCCTGTGTACAACTCCAGTCCTTTTTTAAAATTTTTTTACTTTGAGACAGGGTGTTGCTAAATTGATAAGCTGCCAGGTTGGGTTCAAACCTGGATTTTCCTGCCTTAGCCTCCCAGAGTGCGAGGATTACAGGTTTACACCACCACTCTTGGCTTCAGATTTGTTTATAGATCTTTTTCCCTACTAAAAGAAGAGCCACATTGTTCATTCTGCTTTGCGATCCGTTTTTCCTGTGTGTAATGCAGAATCCATCTATGGTCCTAAACATCGCTCTGCAGTTACTGTCCTGCCCCCTTGTGCGGATCTCCCAGAACCCACCAGGACCGCCTCCTGCACCAGACGCTGGTACCTAGCGCTCACGGGCGGTCTTCTCTCCTGCTGGCAGGATGCTCTCCCGTGAGAAACACCAGGGAAGGAGCTCAGTCTTGCAGCACCTCCGCTGAGGAGCTCTGCAATGGTTCTCATTCGCCACTTCGTGTCAACCTCTTTCCCATCCCCACCTCCAGGGTAAATGAAATTCTGCAAGGCAGCTGCCCAGCGAGCGTGCCTGCGCACCCCACTTGTTCCCGGATCTCAAGCTCGGCGTCAGGCCTGCCTGGGTGAAACCCACTGGGCCAGGCGAGCCCAAGGCTCACCCAGGCAGTGTCTCAGATACCCGGCTCCTGCACAGCGTCCTCACCTACGTACGCGGCCCAGTGCAGCGCTCGCCGGTCCTTCTTGTCGAACGCGTTGATGTTTGCCCCTTTGGCTAAGAGTAGATTGACCATCTGAAAGACAACCAACAGGGATCAAGGGGATGCCCGGTAAGGGTGGGGGCTTCCTGTTTACTGGAGGGGATCGAAGCCCCAAAGCCGGTCAGAGAGCTGGAATTTGGAAGAGGAGGTCACAGAAAACCTGCAGCACGGCTGAAGGAAAAGGCAGAAGGGGCGACCTACTTTTAAAATTCATTATGGCTTTGCCGGGCGTGGTGGCACATGCCTGTAATCCCAGCACTCAGGAGGCTGAAGCAGGAGGATCACTGTGAGTACGAGACCAGCCTGGGCTACACGGTGAGCTCCAGGTCAGTCTCAACAACATAGTGAGACCCTGTCTCAAAAAAATCATTATGGCCTTAAAATATACGGAGGCAAGAGAGGGGTGATGGGAAGATACGGTGAAGAGCTCACTGAACACGGGCACTGTGGTTCCATCATTCTCGCTGCCTCCTGCAGCAGCCCTGCAAGTCTGATCTCCCGAGTGTCTTTAGGTGATCAAAAGCACAGTGAATGCTGCCGCCGAGGGCCACCCAACAGAGAGCCACGCTCGTAAAACACGAGGCTGGGCCCTCACACACCTTATTCACCAGATCCGGCCCTGCGTGACCTCGGCTCTTCCCTAAAGTGACCATGCAGGGAAACGTTTTGAATCGATTCAGGCCTCGTGGCAGCCACCACAGTGCGACTCAAGACACTCAGGAGAGAGGACTCCAGAGCTGCTGAAGGAAGTGGCCAGGACCGTGGGACAAGCGCATCTGAAGTGAGGGGAGGAGTTTGAGGGGATTCACGGCAATGTGTCTTTTATTGCAATAAATATGCTTTTTAATTTAATTTTCACTGTATGCCCGATCACACCCACTAGGAGCCTCATATTCTGTAAAGTCTCAGCAGTACACTCAGGTTCCCTGGGGCCGTCCGACCAGAACACCCACCTCCACATGGCCGTTCAGGGCCGCGTGGTGCAGCGCCGTGCGCCCGCCCCGGTCGGAGACGTTGACGCTGCTCAGCAGCGGGATGAGAACCTCCGCACACCGGACGGCCTTATTGGCTGCGGCCACGTGCAGCGGCGTCTGCCAGTTCTTGTCCCGTGCGTTGACGTCTGCCGAGTGCTTGATCAGCACTTGCACTGCCTCCTACGACAGAAGCACAGTTTGCAGGGATCGCTGACCACGGCTAGGTCAGCTGGAAGATGCCTAACTGGACAGGGGGCCCTAGCAGAAAGGGGGACCCCTGCTGTCACTGGCTGGCTGCAGATCAGTGAGGGCGCAGACCAAGGCAGCGTCTCCTCTGCAATCCAGTGTACCTTTCCCTGCAAGCTAGAGGGTATTGTGGGCCAGATGAGCACACTGGGCAGGTGAGCGCCTCGGGGGGCAGCTGCCAAAGGACCAAGGTGTCTGTCTATATGCCACCCAACTCCCCAAGCTAAAAGGCCTCTTGGATCGATGTATAACCCTTCAGTTCTGTGTGCCAACCTCTTAACCCTCGGTCTTTGTGATCAGTGTGCTGTCAAGGAAAAGAACACATCTGCCCCTACCTGGCTTGAAAAAGCTATGAGATTGTTCCATTTTCCTCAACCTTTTCTGTGTCATAATGGCGGGGGGGTCCCCTCTCACTTTATTGAGCTTCTTGCTTTTGATTTTTCCTCTGTTGACCTAGACAGCTCAGCAGCCTCTTCACCTAAACCTCTCACCCCTGGCAGTTCAGGAGGATCACCTGGGAACATTGGAAAGTCAATGCCTGGTCCCTCCTTGAGGGGTAAGGGGCTCCTGGAGAGCGCCCCTGTGCTCAGTGGAGGTTTGACACAGCTCCTTCAGAGGTGGGGACAGATGTCGGTGGCTTCTCTCTGTGCCCAAGACTTCCTTGGTGCTTCTACACAGCCACATTGTCAACATGGCATCAGTAACCCATGAAAGGCATCAGGACTGCATTCTTGCCATCCTTCGTGGACTGAGAATTTACCCTCAGCCACCTCCTTCCCCACAGGACTGGAGTGTTCAGTTGACTGTGCCACACAGGTATATTCAACTGCCCCAGGAAGACGACTCGAAACTTAGCAAAATCCAGACATGAACGGTGAGACATGCGTAATGTTGCATGAATCAGAAGCACCAATACATTGAGGTGAATGGCTAGCCTGAACAGCAGAATGGGAGCAAAAGGAAATTAACCGTGCGACTGAGATAACACAGTTTAAATAAGCAGTGGGACAATGAAGGATGCTTCAAGAGATAGTGCAAATAAAAGGCTGACTGACAGGGTCACGCAAGTAATTTAAGGGTCCAGCAAGCAATTTAAGACTATAAAAAAGGGAGATGACGCCACTTACCCTCACAAAGAATGACAATAAAATACTGCTGAATATTCCCCAAGCCCATTTTTGAGTGAAATATGTGCACACACATCAGAAATGCTCACCAACTATGTGCAAAACTCTGCTAGAACTGTGCACAATGAAAGAAATACTAGGCAGCTCTCGCCTGAAACCTCCCTGGGTGAACAAAACTAAAAGAAAGGCTAAATCATGAGATTAAATACATTGTAAAATGAGATGAAGATTAGAATAAGTAGAATATTTTTTATCAACTTTGATCTCACAAGTTGTAAAGTTTAAATGAACTAAACTAAGTAGATGCAGATACAACCCACTGCAGTGTGGGAGAAAATACTGGCATCTCCGTCTGTATTTGTTTTCTGTGAAAAAGAGGGTATTGGAGCTGGGATTGTTCTTCCGGTCAGTTCTGTGACCTCCACAGACAGAAGTCCTGTCCTCACTCTCAGTGTTGGGGAGGTGCCCTCAGGAAAGTGGGGCCCCACAGCACCGAGGGGCAGCCCCTCCGTCCACCCGCTCCGAGTGCACTGAGAGGCACAGAGAGGCTGGCTAAGTGGGGCTACAGCTTCCGTTATATCCCTTTAGACTAAAGGGACCCCAAAATGGACAAGACCCATAGAGGAACCCATCGTGGAAGCCACGTGCAGGCATAAACCCTGTGGAAGCCATGGAGCCAAAGCTCTTGCTCTCCCACGGCAGCTTGCCATTGTCAAGATTACAGCATGAAAGCAGGGACAAATTTAATCAGGGCTCACTAGAACTTGGCCAAAGCAGAGAAGGTCATCAAAAGGCTACTGGCTAATGCTCGTGTCAGACCGTTGTAAGTGAAGAGCCTCCCCCTAAGTGTAGGTGCCTGGACATGTTAGCTAGTTCATATACACAGTCCATGCATAGAGGAGATGCTTGTTTTGAGAGGGCATGCCCCCCAAAGTTGGAGACAACTCTCAAAATAATACTATAAAACATGGAACGGTATCCTTTTCACACTCCCAGAAAAATGACGGTGCGTGCTATCACCTGAATACTTCACCTTGAGTGTCGTTTCACTGACTTGTGTGTTCTTGCTTTGTGATAAATATTATGCAAGTTCACAATAGGCTAAGAAAATAAAATATACAAGATCGTTCCATAAGTTTACGTTACTTGGAGGTAAGATCAACAAATTCACCAGGAATTGGGACTTTCCTTGCCCTACTTTTTTTTTTTTTTATTGAGTTTATTGGTACATTTAGGGATACAGTACAGTTACATTCATTGTTGGGATCATGTACCTTTACATGGCAAGTCTTGATTCTCATTTTTTTCCCCTTACCTCTGCCCTCCCTTCACCCCCTCCTCCCCTCCCCATCTACAAACACTTTATTTTCATCTTTTCATTCTCTCACATTTTTTTCTTTTCCCTTTTTGTTCTTCCCCTACGTATCACACCTTCCCTACACCTTTAGCTCCTTTCCTCCCATTTCTAAATGTCAGTAATCTTATTAGAATCTTATGCATTGTTGCAGAATATTCACACCAGGGAAACTATTTGGTATTTACACATGTGCCTTGCCCTACTTTTAAGTGAATGCATAGGAATGATTTGCAATTCACCCGGAGCAACACCCTAAACGAAAACAGCATATAGTAACATATAAATAAATACATCCAAACGTGGGAGTGATTCTTTACCAACCAATACCTCCAAGGCCACTGTAACCACGGGTAAGTTGTAGTCCATTTTGTGAACAAAGCATTGTGGGGGCACAGCCCTGCCACAGAGGTCACAGGAGGTGCACAGCCTGAAATATCTGCTAAGAAACTATTACTTCAATCACCAAGAACCAACACTTCCATACAGGAAATATGGAGACGGGACCAAGAGACAGAGGAGGGGACAGTAGGGGAGGGGAGGAGACGAAGAAAGAATTAAGCTGTGTTCTGTACACGTACCAGCTCCCACCATGAATGTAATCACTACGTACTGCAAACATGGACTGATAAAACTAAAAATAACAAAAGAGACAGATAAAAAATAAATTTTATCTCGATTATCTTATTAAATTTAACAGGCATGAAATAAATTGCCCTAAAACTTGCCAAACGATCACTCTTATCGCACAAGTAGGAGCATGGCTCTCGGTCCACACTAGTGTGCAGGCCACACCGTGAGTGGCGTTTCTTGCTTAGTGAACAAAACAGGGGAGCATCCCGGGCCCTCAGCCTGCTCCACATTTAGTCCTGGGGCTGCACCCTCGTAGCAGGCTGCCCTGGATAAGCCACAGAAATAGTGGCCAGAGGAGAGGGACTATTGCACACGTCACAGGGGACGGGACTGGAGGTGGCGTTTGCAGTCGCGTGATGCCCCTTCCACAAGTGTCTCTTCATAAAAGCCACTTCAGCCTTGTAATAAGGCGTGGACACAGACCCTGTGGCACATGGAAAAGATGGGAGGAAAGAGAAACCGTGGGTCTTAAAAATGATTGTGTAATATTGTACTTTGACCTGCAAATGTGCACTGCATTGAAGTTGTTCATAAATTACTTATGGAAAAGCAATGCTAATAGCTATACTACAGATTTCTTGCAAAGTCCAACTTTATCAGTTTTAAGTTGCTTTTCTCCAGGGTCTGAGTCGTAGACAACTTTCTACATGCTCCATCCGATTTGGTAAATTCCCTGAATACTGTGATATTCAATAAATTTGAGTGGAATAAATATACTGCTATAATCACCAGCAAACTCTGTAAGTATTAACAGGACATTTGCTGTGGTGTGAGCCAATGTCCCTGAGGCTGCACTCAAGCTCTGAAGGCTTTTATTGTATTACTACATCATGTGAGGCTTTTATCCATATTGACTATAGGAAGTCCATATTCATCCTACAAGAACAGTAGAAATTGGTGTTCAACCGTTATGTTCAATGAATGGGGTTATTCCTCTAGAGCTACCCACCATCAAACTAAACTCACTCTTAATTATTATAATTATTATAGAGCACAGTTATTTTAAGAACAGTAGTACAAAGGTGGCCCAATGGAGACCTGGGAAAGGAGAGGACTTCAAGGGAACCATTGTCAAAGCACTGACTTTAAAATGTTAGGAAAAGCAGACCCGAAGTATTCCCGATCTTCAGCCCCAAGTTTCCAGGTTGGCATATAGACCACAGGCAGCAGAACCTTGCTTTTAAGATTCAGGTTTCTGGGACAACCACAGGTCCATGGGGGAGAGGCTGGAGGGCAAGGTGACTTACACGAGCCTGAGTTCCGCTTACTTCTAACTAATGAATAGAAGGCCTACTGTCTTTCTGTCCCAGGTAAGGCCTAAGCTATAGGTGCAAAGATCTTTCTATAATGACAAAGATAATTTAAAGAAATCAATGACATTCTAATCTTCTATATAATTTTTCCAATTCTCCTGTCTACTAGCAGTTAGCCCACAGCAATGACAGTGTTTTTTAGAGGAAGGAGAAAAACATGAGTTTGAAAAATTTAAGCTATGAAGTAGAACACTTGTTCTGTTCAGCTCTGGGAATGATTTTTATTCCAGCTGGGAATGCTGTCTGCACAGAAGCCAAAAACAGATGCATTATATTGGCTGACAGTCACTTAAGGGACAAGGGAAGCAGAGGAGAAGTTCCCAAGTAGGTTCCCAGGTTGCTCCCCCACTGGCTGGACATCTTGGCTCCTTACTTCTCTGGGATCCTGTTTCCTAAATTAGTGCTCCCAAGGATACAATCACAAAGGACATCCTGGAGATTGAAATGGGACAGTGCACAGGTCGCCAGTCCGTAGCACACTACCTGGTACACAACACTGCTCCATAACTGCTCCTGGCCGTGCTTTTACACAGACACCATGTCCTCGATCCTACGCCCCAAAGATACATGCAACCATTTTTAGCTTTTCTGACCAAAAGATAGCTACTAGAATGGAGGTGGAAAGTTCAGCTACTCGTGGAGCTACTTGAGAGCCACTCTTGGCTCTTCCCAGGGGAAAGGCCCCATATGAAAAGCCAGGCACGCTGTCCTCAGAGACACACTTTTCAGGCCCTCCAGGCCCCACTCCACCCAGGGGGTCCAACGCACATGTGCTCAGCTTCCAGGAGCATGTGTTGGGCTCTCTGGGTTCCTTTAGTTCCTTTCCCTATAGCTGCTTTTTCCCAAGAAAGAGAAGTGAAGGAGCAACAGAATAAGCTAAGCAGGGGAAACAAGAGGAATTATCCAGTGCAACACCGCATTATTCTCCTAGCAGCCCAGATGGCCAGTCTGAGACAGCAGGCATCGCAAATACACACCCTAGTACTTTAAGATGTCCTTCCCTTCCTCACAGCCCTGGCAGTCATGCAAGGAAAGGAGGCTGTGAGGGTAGCACAATTTAGAACCTTCATGAAGACATGACGCTGAATACACACGTCCACCTGAGCACAGACAGGCGCAGCTGTCACACCGTCACGCTGTGGCCCAGGCCAGCAGCAAAACACCAGGCACCGGTGCAAACCTCCTCTCCCCTCTTCCCTCAAGCTTCCTTCCTGTCTCCCAACTATGAATTAGGGAAGACATAGCAAGAGGACCAAACACACAAGGATATGGAATCTGAATGGGGTTTCTCCAGCCCCGGGATGGGTGTGGAGTCCAGATGCTCACTGCAGGACAGCTCTGGAGACAGAGACCCCGTTTTCCTAAGGAGCTTCTCAGCTTGCCGGGACAGGTATGAACATGGAGTCACTGTCCTTCAGAGCTTGTTTATGATCAGATCATTTACAATCAGGGTTTGTTTGCAAACATCCTGAAATCCTTCCCTAGACATCTGCAGGGATATTTCCCTGGAAAGCCTGCAGAGGGCGCTGTGACCCGGAGAAGCAACACTCTTTCCCAGACAGGAAGGCCAGCCCACTGTTGAGTTGACTGGGTTCCAACCACTAAAGATGGAGAAAATGGGCTGATGGTTGGTGGAAGCATGCTCTAAGGACTGAAGCTTTTGCAGCTAGAGCTAAGAAAGGTGTAAATCTCTTGGGAAGGACACCAATGTGACCTTTACTTACTGAAATCGTCTACTGTGTCTGAGGGCAAAACCACAGATCTTATTTCTCTTTGTAGCCCCATCAGCAAGTATAGTAACTTTTAAACTAAAACAACCTTGTTAAAAGGAAACAAGCCACTCCCCATATATTTAGAGATACTGAAAAGAAATTTACCAGTGATCAGGTGGTCTTAAAATTTAGACCAGGAAATATTCCCCTATGATGAGCTGACCTCGTGAGGTGGTCCTGCTGACTCAAGCAGCCCACTGAGCTTCCCAGGCAACATGGAAATGCAACATGGGCCCACCCGAAGATGCTGAATCCTCCACCGCCCAAGCAAGGCAATTTAGAATTATTTACCTCCCTTATTCCATGTGGACCACTCAGAAAGACAACACAATGGACCTCTTTTTGAAAACTCTCAAATTATGCAGCCCAGCAAGGAAGATAAGCCATCATCTATTAAAGATATTTAGAAATATCCAAGTAGCTTCCCAAGACGAAAGGCTAGTATCCACGCTAACCACTGACATCTGCAACTTCACTGTATCTGTTCTCTTCTCCTTGGTGTGCCTAGGAGACATCCCCTTTTCCAAAGGCGGAGCTTCATGGGGCAAACTCACCCATGAAGGCCTCCGAGGTAAGAATCCTGTATCTCTGAATAGTGGGCATCTCCTCTGACTGGGCTGACCCCCACCACAGTCCCTGCCCCTACCACAGAGGTCTCTTCTTCTCGTCCCTCTATTCCCCTTCAACCAGATCATGCACTGAATCTTTGAACTACACAAATAATCTAATCTATGAGCCATCTTCACCTGACTTTCCAGCAGTCAAGTTGGGTTATTTCTTGAGTATCAGGTCCACTGTGTTTCTGCAGTGTATCAGGAGTGGGGTGCCTCAAGGAACAAAACATAGATCCCTGTATTCATGGAGCTTATGTTCCAGAGACATGTTTTCCAGACTCAGTGTACTGAAAAGAACTAATTACCTTCCTAGACCCTGCCTCACCTGCTCTGGGTCTTCTCCATCGATGTAGTGGTTAAGCTTAACTGTATCAATTTGATTTGATTGGTTTGGAAGCCACCCAGGAGATTAGTAAAGCACACTTTTAGGTATGTCTGGGTGGGTCATGGAGGTGTAACTTTGGATTCTATATCGGGTCCCTCACCCCTTCCTCTCTGTTGCTGTCCCCTGCTCTGCTTCCTGACCACCATGAACTAAGCATCTTTATTTCACCACTTCCTTCCACCATGATGTTCCTGCCTTAGGGCCAGACAACCATGGACTGAACCCACTGAAACCATGAGCCAAATTAAAGCTCTCCTTCTTTCACTTTTAAGTGTCAAGTATTGTGTCTCAGTAATGAGAAAGTTGATTAATAGAGTTTATGATATCACCATTTACCCATGACTTTTGTTTTACTTCATCTCCACAAGGTAACCTGTTGGGTTTGCGTCTGATTTCCCTCAAATCACTGACTCCGTGCCGTGCCTCGGCTCCATGTTCTTGGGTCTCTTTGGCCTTGAACTGGAACCCCTGCCTGAAACTCTTCTCTTCCTCTCTCTTCCATCCTACCACCACGTTGTTTCCTGAATCACTGTTCTGAATGAGCCACGCCCCTGCTGTGACCATTCCCCACGGCTGTCACCTGGCCCGGCCCCACTCTGACTTATTCCTCACAACCCTCTGTGTTCCAGTTATGTCTACCTGAGCCACCATCATTAACTTCCATGCCTCAGCCCTTCCTCCTTTCCCAGCTGGTGACATCCCCACTCATCCTTTAAGGACCAGATCAGAAGACATCTTTCCTTGGAGGACTGCCTCTATGTTTGGAGTTGCTTCCTTCTCTGAGTCCGTTCGGATATCGTACTGATCTGCTTCCTGTCCTCCTCTTCTGTCAGCCTGAGAGGGGACTGAAGTCAAAGACCACACTGCCCAGCTTGCACCTTTCTGCCACAACTCCCCTGGCCCATTTCTGACAGGCAGGAGATGTCAAAGAGGCAGCTGTTCATTTTGGTGATCTTCTAAATTAGAGCTGAAGCCTCTTCCTCACCAGTGAGGGTCCCCCATCCACTGGAAAGAATGCGTGCTCTGGGGACAGCAGGTGTTAGATAAAATATGGTCATCGCTCACCTCACTCCGGGAAGCCACCGCCCGGTGCAGCGGAGTCAGCCACATGTTGTCCTTGGCATTGACACGAGCTCCTAGAACCAAACAGCACAGGTTTTTAAGCTTTTGAAAAAGGCTGCAAAACTCTCATGAGTAAAAGGGAGCTAGATGTTTAGTGATAGGCTCCGGATAAAGGGAAAATAGCAAATCATAGAACTCATACAATTTTTGTCTAACTGAAAAAAGAATGACCATCAATCATAAAAAACGGAGGTGGAGGGAACTTCCCTCCTCCAACCCCTTTCTGATGTCACCGGTTTGAGGTGGTGAAAAGCTCCCAAGGATCCAAAGGCAGTGTTGACAGCCACGGTGAACTCCTGCTGGTTAATCAAAGTCAAAATCATTTCAAAGCTGATTCTACTGGCTCCAGCATGCCTAAGGGGTTCAAACCCCTGCTCCACACGGAGCACAGTGCGATCAGCAGTGCAGCACCACTGCTGGGGCAGGCGTCACCAGCTCCAGAGCACAAAGCCATAGCCACAGTGCTCCAGAGGGAGAGGAACGCGCTCTTGGAAGGACAACAGGACCCGCCCTCACCAGACCCAGATCCAAATCCTGATTTCTGCACCAACTGGTCCTAAGATCTAATATCTCATCCCCTCTGCATCTGTGACTCAGATTCTAAAGGAAGTAAAAAGCCTGTCCCATGCCCGAGGAAGTGGGAGGAAGCCAGGGAAGTGGTTTACAAATGCAAAGACACATACATCATCTGAACCTGTACAAACAAGCATCTTTCTACGACTGCTGGGGACAAGGAAACCCATGTGTTGAACCCAGAAAAACTGCCGAACTTTAAAACAAATTTCCAGCTACTAAACACAAACTTTAGATTTCCTCTCTACGTCCTGATTCCAACAGGGGGAGCCAGGTGGCTGTGACAAAGCCCACCTTTCTGGTTTAGAAATGAACAGAACTTATCCTTTCCGGCTCTTGTATTTACTCTTCCTACATTCTGAAAACTTGCCAACCCTCTAAAAGTATTGACATCTTTTTAAAGCCTTTTCTTAGATTATAAATTTGTATGTGTTGGAATTGCCTGTCTTTCTAGAAAGCCGTCTGGCTGGAACGCATTCCTATTTAGGCCATTTCTCTGGGACTCAAGTCCCAAGCATCCTTCAGGCTTCATGCAGTCCTGGAAGGCTGGATTAAAGCCCATAACTCATAGTCCTTGGCCAAAGTACATGTTGTGTTTTGAATTTTTTGGTAAACTCAAACAGCTGATGCAAGATGACACGCAAAAGGCAAGCCACACGTGGAAAGATCCTTCTCAAAATTAATCAGGGAGAAGCAGCAGAGAGCAGCACCAACAACCATTACAACCCCGCCACATTGGTGAAAGCGGTAAAATGTGACAATGCCCACAGGTAGCCGGGGTTCGGAACGATGGGTTAGCCTAACACAGTCAGCGCGAGTGGGAATGGATACAACCCCTCCGAAGGAAGTAATGAGGTACTGCCCAAACAAAATTGAGGGGGTCCACTGCCCGGCTTGTGCTTACAGAGGCTGGGAATCGGGATCCGCCTGCTGATAAGGGGAAATGGAAGCTACACTGTGGCATTGGTGCACAATGCAAAGCAACACAGTCACAGAGGGCCTGAAGCTCTGTGTACAGAGGTGCTTAAAATCACAGCAATGAGCCAACAAATCAAGTTGCAGAACACCTGAAACATAATAGCAGTATATAAAGTTTTTTAATTTACAAAAATAATTCTACACGCTGTTTATGGATGTACAGGCATCAAATGAAAGTAAAAATACGGCCAAGGAGAACAGATACCACTTCTGGACATCAACTGCTTCTCAGGAAGAAGGGATGTACTCTGTGTGTGTGTGTGTGTGTGTGTGTGTGTGTGTGTGTGTGTGTGACATGCAAGTACGGCAAAATGGTAAAATGCTAAGATTTCTTAAAGCTTGTTAGAAAGTATAGAAATATTTATTATATTATTCTCCATACCTTTCCAAATGTTTTAAATATTTTCAAAAAATTATTTTAAGGAAAGCCAGTAAATCTGAAGTTTTATGTTCCATAAGAATGAAAGGGGACTGAGTTGCTTTTCCTTAAACTATTTTTGTTCTGGGTTACTAGCTCCTGGTAGAAAAATAACCCTCCCTGTCCTTCCCATGCAAAGTGGCCCGGCTGTGTGGCCCCTGCCAGGTGAGGCAGAGGACGGGAGCCAACAGCGCACGCCTCTGATGGCCCTGGCTGTCCAGTCCAGTCCGAGAGCACACATCAGGTTGGTGTTGCACTATTTGCTGGTCTTCCTGCTGCTACTCTGCTTTCCCGGCTCCTCTCTCCGCATGGAGGCCAGGTGAGCTCACCTCGCTGAAAGGTGCAGTCCCTCTGGGTCCACAGCAGACAGCGCTCCCGCCAGGGGCCTTCGCCGTCTCTCTGACTGCCACTCTGTCATTCACACTCCCCTCCAAGCGTCTCATTTGAGGGCCTTCGTCACCAGCTGGCCACCAGGGCACGTGTGAGCTGCGTTCCACACCCAGGCTGTGACCAGCTGCTTTGGCCGTGGTGAGGGCCAACCTTACTTCCGTCTCTTTCTCCTCCTCCCTCCTGCTATTCCTCTGCCTCTCGTCTTCTCGTTCCTCTCCTTCCTCTCTCCTCTCCTCTCTCTGTCCCTTCTTCTTTCTCTCCCTCCTTTCTGTCTTTCTGGCGTGTGCACTAAAATACTCTATAACATCTTTCTACAGAAAATAACTATGGGTGAATGTCTGGACTGTTATTAAGCATATTTTATTAAAGGTAAAATAGGTATAAAAGTCAAATACTGGAAACAATTTTGGTGTAGGTCAACAAAGAGTCAGTTAAATACTGTGCTTGGTCAAATGACACAGGCGTGGAACGCAACCCTGAGGCTTCAGGAGAAAACCCGTGACATAAGCCCATACGACGTGCTCATAAACCATGACTTTTACTGTGGAAAAAAGTGGGTACCGAAACACTACAGAGAGAAGGGGTCTGCTTGTTGTAGAATGCCGAATGCTCTACAAGGTAAGAGCACAACAGCCCTGAGCTCGCTGCCATGGAACTGTTTGCTGGACTCCTAGGGGCAGAGTTGGGGACTGAGAAATGCACAGAGGGGTCCCTGCCCTGCCCAGTCTTGAGCTCAGGGCAGACTTTCTGACTGGCGCAGAGATCACCAAGCTCTCTTCAGCAGAATCAATGTGTCAGAGCCATCAGAGTGGACCCATCACCGTGGACAGCAAAAAGCCTGCTTTACTTTGCACGCTGATCACACCAGTGATATGAGAACGCATTCTTCTGCCAAAAATGGGTCACTGCAGACGTAGCTAATGTCCCGCTGCGTGTCACCCCCAGGTTAGACTCTCCCTGCCTCCTGAAGTTAACCGCTGCCATGAGTTCAGTACGGAAGCTCCCAGGTGCTCTTATGTCTTCATGTGGAAATATAGGCGCCCACAGAAACTCTAGAGAATTAAGTCAGGCGGTCAGTAAAATATCTTCTGAATATTTAAAATACTGCACAACACTTAGCAAATACAGCACGAAGTGTATTTTCATGTAATTATATTATATTGTAGCAATTCTCTGAATCCCCTTGTTTCAGTCATCAGCGTGTGTGTTGTGTCTGTACATGTCGACACAGAATACATTAATTTCTTTCAATTACCAAATGTATTCGATTGTAAACACACAGTTTTTTGACATTTCCTCTATTGATGATGCTTTCATTATTTCCAGTATTCCTCTATCCAAACAATGTTTAACTACAGTGGACCCTTGACTTATGAACTCAATTTGTTCCTGAGGACTAGTTGTAACTCAGGTTGGTTAGTGGAGGCACAGGCTCCTCCTCTACGCGGCCTTCAAAGTTTCTCTGCTGTACACAGGCAGAGCTCAGTGTCCTTAGAGAGACTGGCCAGGTTTCTCAGTGAACACCACAGGATGCTGTCCTGTTCCTTCAAGAATTCTTAAGGGTTAAATCTGTATCTGAGACCATCTGGAAGCACAAGCGGCCGGCATTCTAGTCAGAACTCAAGACTTTGTTCTTAAGTGAAAACTAAAATTCTGGTCATAACTCAAGTGGTTCTTATGTCAGGTCGGTTGTGAACATCCACAACATGACTTTTGCAAATGCGTAAGTATTCAAGGAGAGATAATTTTAGAGATATCTGTATGGTGTATGTAGTGCATGTTTTTTGTTTTTTGTTGCTGTTACTGTGGAACAGAGGAGCGAATCCAGGACCTTTGCACTGACTGAGCTACATCTGCAGCCATGTTTAAATTTTGAGACTGGGTCTCCTTCAGCCACTATGTTGCCCAGAATGGTCTTGAAGTCACATTTCTCCTGCATCAAGTTCTCAGAGCACTGGAAGTTTATACCTGTGCCACCATGCCCTGCAGCTCTGGGCTTTTGCAAGTGCTCCGCTAATTTACACACTCACTGTGTATACAATTGCTTAGATTCCCCACCTCTTCAACCCTTGATATCACCAGCGACTTGGAATCAACAATACTGTATTATGCACTTAAAAATTCATGGAGAGGGTAAATAGATCTTGTATTGTTTTCTTACCACCTGCAGCGAACACCCCAGAAGTCAAGACACACAAGGAAACTCCTGAGACGACAGGTCTGTCTGTCGTTCTGATTGTGGCACAGGTTTCATGAGGGAATGCACATGTCCAAATTCACCCACTGTACCTTAAATATGCGGTTATTGTATATCACCTTCACTTCAACAACGCAGTTTAAAATGTAAATAGTAGACATCAGATGGGAAGCAACAGCACCTCATTTCTGTGTTTTCCTAAGAACAAGACTGGACATTTCCCATTGGGTTTGTTTATTACTCATTTGTAATTCATTTTCTCAGAATTACTTGTTCATATTCTTTGCCTATTTCCCCCATTCTCCTAGTGGTTTGTGATTGTATGCTCACACTGCTATTCCTATTACTATCTTGTATAATCTGAACATGTAGATCCACATGTGAACCCAAGTGTGCAGGGCCCCCGAGCGACATGCCTGGGTGTGACAGTGTCGGCACTGTCAGGGTACAGCCTCAGTAATGAGGCAGGATAGAAGAATAAAGATAGACCAAAGGAAAACAGGGGAAACCGTAATATTAAAATCATTCTTTTAAGAAAAACTGCAGCTTCTGGATACAAAAGCTGTTCTTCTCCCCTCTTCCAGGGAAAACTGCTAAGGGCCCTAGAGATCCTAGCCTGCACCCATGAGTCCCAACCCCTCCTGCCCACCCTGTGCTCCAGAAGCCGCTGTGAAGAGCACAGACCTCTGCTTCCCATGCGTGTGAGTGGCTTACACTGTAGCAGAGTCCACCAATCAGGCAGACCCACAAGCACTAAAACACACACCCGAGGTGAGCTACCTGCGGGACACCCCAGATTCCCACAAATACACCCAGCAAGGCCACAGGTGCCTCCTCCGCCCCCATCTCTGGCCCTGCACTCTACTTCTTTGAGTCCTTACTTTTGAAATTCATGCCTCTTACATGTCCTGAGAATTCTTCTCTGTGATGGAACTCGGCAAACCTTCACCCTGCTGGCTTCCCTGCCTCCTCCTCTCAATGGAGTCTTGCTTCCCTCTCAGAGGCGGGCATCTGATGGTTTTGGTTCTGAATTGAATATTTATAACTGATGTCCTACAGGAAGCTCACACTATTTACCTGCCTGTCAGGAGTCGCTGTGCACAGACAACACAGCCTGCACGACTAACGACCCTAGGCAGAGCTCTATATCCGAGGACATTTCAAGCTTAACTGGGAAAAAGAGCTCTTCTTCTACACAGACTCTTCCAAACAAAGGCCCAGCTAAAAACGGTCAGGCACAAACTACCTGCAAATTGAGAAACTCTTCACCTTCTCCCCACTACCTTTCAGTCCCATTTGCACAGAGAGAAGAAGCAGAGGGAACTCTGAGCATCTCAGAAGCACTATCTGCTCTCTGCAACTTGCCAGCTGGAAAGCAGTGGGATGAAGGAAGAGAAGAGGGACAGAGGTGGTCAGTGCTCACGGCTGGCTTGTCCAAACATCAGCTCCTCACTGTGGAAGCGAATATTAGAGAAAGACCATACAGAATATGATTGTAACGTAATGGTATGAGGTTGCTACTGATTTTTTAACAGATCAAATCTTATTACGGTACAGGAGCTGTCTTTCTGGGCAATTGCCTTGGAAAAGTCTATGATAATTCCATGCGTGTGGCAATTGATCAAAACATATTTACGACTCTACACCTTACACATCCACCAGAAAAGAGTTCATTATCTTATAACTGCACCACACTTATGGGCCGAAATCAGTCTTGCCTATCGAACTGCTCCTGCTTCACCATCAAAACACACGAAACCCATCCTCGGAACGGATATTTGTCATGCATCAGAGAATCGTAGGAATGGTGCCCACTAGCTCCAGAGGCAATTTGCATCAAGGGAAGTAAGCACATTTTGAAAAATGACAGGAAGTATTTTTACAAGACCACACTCTTCCACAGTTTTTTCTGCAGGGTTTTTCTCCCGTGGTCATTCCTTGGTGTGAATTCCTTCCTGCGTCTCAGCCCCAGTCCCTCAGGCGTCAGCCTCTGATGGGTTCTCATTGATCTCACTGACCACCTCTCCCCTTGACCCTGGCTCACCCAGACCCCAACCAAAACTGGCAGGGGAGAGGGGATCAAGGCAGGATTTGGATGGGCAGTGACGAGAAGTAAGAACTGCAAGGCCTGAATTGACCCTCAGGACCTTGTGCCCCTCTCTGCTCAGCCATTTCAGGGTCCATCCTCCTGGCTGACAGGAGCCGGCGTCAGGAGGAATGTAGGGCTTCTGCTGGGTTTCACCATGAGCTAGACGTTAACAAAATAACAGAGGCCGCAGCTGTAACAAGCTGCTCTGGAAAGGCCAAACGATTTGCCCAACATGGGACTCATTAGCACTTCATTCATTATTAAACTGGAAAACACTGTGGTTGGATTCCCTAAAGGGTCAGCTGCCAGAAGCAAGCTCAGAATTAAATCATTATGCTCTTACAGTGATATTTGTTTAGGAATGTAAAACATAAATTACATAAGGGTCCTTTCAGGGAAAACAAAAGCTGTGCAAATTCCAAAAGTTGGTCTTGCCTTCCGTAGTTGAATAAAATTGCAGAACTTTCTCAGTACTCGCCCATGCTCTAAATCTTCCTAATGTCATGGGGGAGAGAGGAGGACAAGAAAAACTGCATAGTTAAACCACACTTACACTCAAAACCTCAACATCTCTGTAACTAGGGATACAAGTCAAGACAGGCAGAGCGGTTTCTCCAAGCGCTACTGAATCAGGCATAGTTAGAAAGACATTTACAGGAAGGTGATGTGAGACCAAGTTTCTCAAACAATCCTGGTCCCAAATGGATCAGCTTCATGCTGCAGAATTAAAACCTCACCTTTCAGAGGTAGAAGCAACAAAACAGCACTAAGTGGAAGTCTAAGAACGAGTTTTGAATCTCCGCACTGCGAGGCTCTAGTCCTACAGGCGGAGCGTCCCTTGTCTGAAATGCTTGCCCCAGAAGTGTCTCAAAGTTTGGATTTTTACAGATTTAGAAATATCTGCAAGTAGATATCTGATAACTTGGGGATAGGACCCAAGCCTAAACGGGAAGTTCACTTGTGTTTCTACTGCAGCAGGAAGGTCGTTTTATACGCGATCATCACTGCTGCTCTTCGACCGTGAGCTGCCCAGCGGGTCCGGCGTGCGATTTCCCCTTTACGGCATCAAAACACAAAGGGTCCTCGACTTTGGAGCATTTTGGACTTTCGACAAGGGACACCCAGCCTGGGTGACATTTAGGTGGAGGTGTCGCTGGCTGTGACCGCGGGATGTTGTATCACGAAATTCTTTGTTTTAAAGCTCCGATTCCGTCTGCAGCTCACCGTGGACCCGCGAGCACGTGGCCCGGGTGCACTGGCCCTGGTCTTAGTCTGTGCCAGCGCCAGGCCATACAGGCTTTCTGGAACACCGCCCCGGGGCAGCTTGGGCTGGCGGGAGGAAAGCCCACAAAGAAAGCTCACGAAATCTAACCCGAACTCCTCAGGGCTGTCAGGAGCACAGTGCGCCAGGGTGTTGTGCAGAATACTCACTTCCCGGGGGGAAACTCGCCTCAGGGACGCGAGTGCCACACAAGCAGGGGCGACGTGAATCTTCCCTGTGGATCACAGCACTGAGCCTTCCTGTCCACCACGTTCTCCACCTCAGCTTGAACACTTGGAACAGCCCTTACCTCCGGGTAACTTTTTTTTAGCTTACTTTGGAACGAACAACGGCAAAACGTTATCAAGGGCCTTCCGCCTAGTCCAAGGGCAGAGACACTTCCTCCAGATTTCAAGCTCCACAAATGCAAGTGAGGAGGAAGACAGCCAGCCCGTCTGTGCACACTACAGAGAGGCGCGGGCCATGCTCACGTCCACTCCAGGGATTTGTCTAGCACGCATTCCAGGCAGAAAGCAAACAACGGTTTTGGAAATCTGTTTGGTGCAATGTACCCAGCATGTAGTTTCCAAATCTGAAGGCGTCAGCATTTTAAAATCTGGTAAAATACTTAAAATATACAGAAAAATAAAGAGAATACTGCCACAAAGACCTGTGTGCACACAAACTAGATCTACATTTGCTACTATTTGCTTCCAAATTTTAAAAAGCATAACATTTTATAGGGAGTTGTAGAAGTCCCGTTTATGTCCTTCCCTGAACACATGTTTCATTCAACCTGCTGACTCTGAGGTAACCACTACCCAGGAATTGATATGGCTCCTTACCTTCCATGTTTCTATATTTTTATTGCAGATATAGCCATGTATCCATAAGCTAACACAGAATTTTTGCCACACAACTTCAACATGTGTAAATATGTATATATGTAAATGTATAGTGAATATATATATAAAACCTACTTATAGTAAACACAAACTAAATATAATACATTCACACATACAGGGAGTGTATTTTTATGTAGACTTTAAACGGATTTTCTTTCCTTTCTTTTTTTTCATAATTAAAAGATATCCAAATGTACTGAATTTGTTTACAATGTTAGGCTTGACCAGAAAGCCATAATCAGACTTTCAGAGGAACTTAAACATTTTACTGAAAAAGTCATTTTTGATAACAATTTCTTACACTGTCTTTCAGATATAGATACAATTGCTAATCACATAAAGGTCCATGAATATAAGAAGGAAATTTTGTTTGGACACATTGCAGCAATCAATCCAGTAAACTTATTTAAATTTTTATCTGCAATTGGTTTTGGGGGACCACAGTTATTTATTTACCTGACAGAATCAGGAGCTCGATGATCTCTGCATCTCCCAGAAATGCAGCCACATGCAGGGGAGTTCGCTTCTCGGAATCCTGAAACAAAAAAATGAAAATAAGATGACAGGGCAGTAGCAGCCTGGGGTGCCTTGGTAGACTGGACAGACATGTTACCCACTCTAAAGTGAATGCTTGTGGAACGAGCTCAAAGGCTAGACACCTGAGGAGCCGAGTTCAGGCGGTAATTTCCCCTCAGCACCCCAGTCACACGTGCACAGCGTTCCACTCTCCAGTCTGGCACAACATCCGCCCACCTGCTCCCTTCACTGAAGCCAGGGTCAGTCAAAGATGGACCATGATGTGCTGGGTGATACATTTCAATTCATTTTCAAACCTTCATTATGGCTTAAATTTTTTTTTCAAACACCTCTAACTTACCTTAGAAACATACTTCAAAGTTTCCAAAGATTTACTTACTTTCTGAGAGAATATAATGAAATTGTTCATGAGGACATTAAATGTAAATACAGTCATTTTCTTTCTATCCTCATCAGCTATTGTCTAGTCCATGCACTATTCACAAAGTGCCTTTTGAATGCCTACTCTGTGCCAGAACCAAATTCCAGGGTCAGAGGGGCAACCACAATAGGCCCAGTCCATGCTATCGTGAAACTTACATTCCATCAAGATAAAATGAACTAAACAAAGATTAAACAAAAAAGGCCAACACACAGTGGTGAAGGGAGTGGTCCATCAAGAAGAGATAACAATTATAAATATATATGCACCAAACACCAATTTCTTAAAACAAACATAAAGGACACATAGGTCCCAACACAGTTCAGTATTCTACTCTTACCCATGCACAGGCCATCTAGACCAGAAAAAGAAATGAAGAGAGAAATACCAGAGTTAAACTACACCACAGATCAAACAGACTTAACAGATGTCTACAGAACATTCCTCCAACAAGTACTGATTATACATTCTTCTTAGCAGGCCATGGAACATCCCCCAAAATAGATCATGTTTTAGGCCATAAGGCAAGGCTTAGCAAAAACGACATGTTGAAATAATTTTTTCCATCTTTTCAGATCATAATGGAATGAAACTAGAAATCAAAAGCAAGAGAAACCACAGAAGTTATGCAAACACATGGGTATTAAACAATTCACTTTTGAACAATCAATGGATCATTGAAAAAATCAGGGAGAAAATTTAAAAATTTCTAGAATCAAATGAAAATGGAAATACAACATCCCAGAATCTGAGATACTGCAGACAGTTCTAAGAGGGAAGGTTATAGTTATGGATTTCTACATCAAACAATCAGAGAGACCTCAGACAAATAATCTAATGATGCATTTGAAGGTCTTAGAAAACCAAGAGCAAATCAAAACCAAACCCAACAGAAAGAAATAATAAAGATCAGACCTAAATTAATGAGGTGGATACTAAAAGAAAACACAGGATCAAGGAAACAAAGAGTTAGTTCTTTAAAATAACAAGTGAGACTGACAGATTCTTAGCCAGACCACAAGAAAAAGAGAGAAAGCCAAATCAGCACAGTTAGAGGTGAGAAAGGGAATGTTACAATAAATACTGCTGAAATCCAAAGTATTATTAGAGACTACTTTAAACATCTATATTCTAACAAATTGGAGAATCTAGAAGTAGATGAATTTCTAGACACTTGCAACTACCAAAACAGAACCCATAGGATATAAAAAAAACTAAAAAAATCAATAACAGACAATGAGATTGAAGCAGTAATTAAAAGCATCTAAAGAAAAGCCCAATCCAGATGGGGTCACTGCTGAATTTTACCAGAATTACCATCAATGCTCCTCAAATCAGTCCTTGATATAAAGGCAAAGAAAGATTCCAAACTCATTCTACAAGGTCAGCATCACCCTGATACCAATAACAAAACAAAAACCTGTAGGCCAGCATCTTGGATGAACATTGATGTATGTTACACGCATGTCCACATCTGCTAAATGAAACCCACTTATCTGTATAACCAATATGCACTAAGAAAAAAAGACCGAAAAAATATTTACATTCCAATGGGGAGTCTGACAATGTTCAGATAAATAAACAGTGCATGAGGTCATTTCCCACGGAGATAAAGACAGTGATGGAATTAAAACAAGGGGAGTCCAGTGATCATGGAGATGGGAATGCATGTAAGGCCTTTCTGAGGATGGCGATATTTCAGAGCTGAGCAGATCTACTGTGTTTTATGGGCAAGAAAACTGTGGCTAAACAGATTCCCAATTTCCTCAAGATCCCACAAGGGCACCGAACAAGTCGGCTGTTCGCTGGTCAGACTCCAGTCCCTGTCCTTGGCCAGGCATTTTTCCTTGGCCAGCTGAGAGGCAGGATGGTTACATGCAGTGGAATAAACACTGCCTCGCGATCTGTAAATGAGAGATGATAATGTCTCTCTCAGAGGCCTGATAAGAGGAAAGCGAGCCAGAGGAGGCAGCTGCACATCTCGTGCTCCCAACGTGGCACTGATGTCATCAGCTGTGTGTGCCAGCTTTCCTCTGAGCCTGAGTATTCCTGGGTGAAGAACAGCTCTCGATCCCTGTACCTCACAGTAGCAGCACCCACGGTGCTCAGCACAGCCAGTCTGCAGGCAGGGACTCTTCCATAAGCATCCATCACCTCCATGACCGCAGTGCCCAAAGCCCTCGCCGTGTTGTACAGTTCTCCTAAAACGACCATGCACTTTAGTCTCAAGATTCTTGGATTCACTGCTGATTTTAATCAGCACTCCTGGTGAAACCTGAGCATCCGGTGGTCAGCCCCCGTGAGCCTGAGGGTGTCGTTCTATCTCCGGCTGGTTGTTCTTGCTCGGTCTCTTTCACACTCTTGCTGGTGGACATGTCGTGACTCACTGACATCTGAAGCAGATGGCAGGTAGTGGGGTGGCAGGAAGCGATCCTCCGAGCAGCCCAATTGTTGGAAATGGTTTTATGAAGGGAATGATAGGTAGATTAAAAAAGAGAAGTCTGAATTAGCTGGAAACTTATGTTGACTGTGAATAGCTTTGGGCAACTACTATGGATCAGTGAAAACAGAGCAGCCACACAACTATAAAATAATGGCATGGATTGGGAAATTCTGCGATACCCGGGACCACAGTAGAGCCTATCACACCTACACTGCTCTATTTTGAAAATAAAGAAATGTTTGAAAACATGTTTGCTCATTTGAGAACCATGTATTCATTTTTGCAATGAACTATACAAATAATTAAGGCCAGACTTGTGTAAATACTTTCTATTTCTATTTCCTCTATTGATATCCCTACTTCCAAGTATTTTCCATTTAACTTCATATTCTTCTTGAATCCTCACTATATCTACTTAAAAATTTCTCTTGGATCTTGGGCTAAAAGTTATATAATTATATGTTCTTCTGTGAATAGGATTAGATCCAGAGTCTGGCTGAATTCTGTCTTGCCCAAATGATTTAAATAAGGCTAATCCCAACCCAAATTATGACTTCATGTGACCCAAAGTAAGTCAATACTCTGTTTGAAAATTGGGCCTCAAATACAAAGCCAAGAAAATTGCGGCGTCTCTCCCTCCCTTGAGAATTCAGTTAGTCTGTCATTACACGATAGACTCTGCTGATTCTGTGGCCCTTCGAACAACACAGCTTGTTCCAACCATAGTTTCTGTACTATAAAAAGCATGTGTTCTGTGAGATCATATTGTACAATTCCTGATGAATCGTTATGTTACCGTGACTACGCAAAGGCTTCCAAGACACCTAGGCCGAGGGTCACAACCCTCCAGTGCCACGGCCACCAGCTCCTGCAGGGGTGAGCTGAATGGCAGCAGCAGTCCTTAGTCACTGAGCGATGGACTATAAACCACCACCTGTTCACCAAAATAACTGCGAATTTCCACACTGACCGAGGGTTGCCCACACCTGCACTCTAGAACAAAGATTGTCAGCTGGAGGTGGGGGGATGAAGGAGCCAGGGTCCTCACCGTGCTTACTAGGCTGGAAGTAGCCAGGGGTTGCCTAAGAATAAGGCCACGAGCTTAGCAACATCATGAGCTAAGCAGGGTCACAAGGGACGCGATGGCTGGCAGGTGCAGGCTCTGAAGGGACAGGACGTTCATAGCCACACGGGTGAAGATGGCCACTAGGGTGTCCAGGAGAAGAAACCAACCTGCCAGGTGATGACAGAATGCCTTCGTTGTATTTTCCCAAGTGCCTTCTCATTTCTTCCACTACCAGGGCACACAACATCCCTGACAAAAGGGACACAGTTATAACCTGAGTTCTTGAGCCTTTTTACCACCGTTTAGAGAAGGAATCTGAGCCCCACACAACCTGCCTGACACAGCAGGCTGTGTCAAAGAATCAGGCATTCTGGCTCCCCATCCAAAACTGTTGTCTTTATGAAAACAAAGGCAAGAACATCATCTTTGATGGTCTAAAAACCTTCCCACACTAACTCCAAGAAACCCTAGAATAATGTGACAAACTTACAGAGGCTCATAAGAAAGTGAACAGCCAGGGACAGAAACAGAGAGTCCCCGGGGCCACAGCTGGACGCAGAGGTGCTTATGCTGTGGTCACGGTGCCAGGGCTCGGAGGGGCCAAGGAGGGGATGGGATGCAGGCTTCACAGGAGGACGGACCCGGGTCATGAATGTAGCTTTGACATTCACACAGGAGGGCAGCGGGGAGGTGGGCGCCTCAGCCCAGGCTCCCAGTGCAGGTTGACGATGCCCCCAGGAGCACCTGTGACCACAGCCTACCCTCTGCTCTTGGGTTTCAAATACACAGTCTTTGCAGATTCTGGGAATTTCTAAGTGCGAAATGCACAGAAAAGTTGGTTCTGGACCACTGATACTCTTTGGATGCTCAAAAGAACCAACAAAACCCAGCTGGAGAGAAGAGACTCGTCCTCTGTCCAGGTGACCCAGGACCCACAGCTTCTATCTCCACAGATTGATAAAGCCACACGCCAAGCCACAAAACCCTTGGGAACCATTCACTAGAAGTGAGAGCCAGGAAGAGCTTGTGAGATGGAAAAAAGCGTCAGAGACACAGAAGGCAGAACGC